CGAAACACATTGCTTGTAGAATCCCAAAAAGGGATCAAAGCCTCGATCAAATCTCTGTCAGGACTAAATCTCATGATATCTGTGAGGAAACCAAGATGTTTGAATATCTCAGTTCGCCTAAACTCATGCATATCGTTCCACCAAGCCATGAGTAGTGGTGGGGTTTTATCCGTGATCATGAACTTTGGGGGATCATTAACCATTTCGACTGCTTCATCCCTTGGTCTTTTATCACATCTCATAGATTTCATGGTTACCTGGTTAGGAAAAGAAACTCGCGATTTAAAACCAAATTTAACTTATGAAATTTTGATAATTCGAAATCATTTGTTAAAAATAAAAAAATATATATATATGAAAAATGACTCAGAATGCCTAAAGTGGTCATTGTTTCGAAAACGACTTTTGTTGACCTTCCTTAAGGGAAGCCTAGGTTGGTTTAAGAGAAAATGATCGGATAAAGAGATAATTTTGACAAGTGAATCATGAAGAACAGAAAGAAAAAGAAATAAAAAGAAGGTGGATATGCCTTATTTGAAACAAATTTAAAGACATACATATATATAATAATTTATTTTATTGCATTATTATTATTTTTTTTATTTTTTTACTATAATCTTTTTTATTTATATATTTATTTTTTATTTTTATTTTTATTTGTTGTAAAAACTTGATGTTTTGATAAAAGCGAGAATACAATTGAGGGTTATATATATATATATATATATATATATATATATATTATTTTCACTTTGTTTATCTTGAATTATTTGCTGGAAAAAAAATAGACGTTTCTTCTTTTAGTCAATTATTTAAAGTCGGTCAACATTTGTTATAGTCTTTCACATGATGCAACAAGTAGCACAAAAATGTACATGATGGTCTCAAGAACATGTACCTGTCCTAGACAGACCCGGCCCCCATGCCGAGTCTTGTTAAGTTAAATGCACGTGATGCAGATAAAGCGGAACCTAGTAAGGATATCATGTATGGAGGTTTCAGTTCTACTAAGGTTAAACTTGTGGAGCAAGGTATCTAGACTGGCTGTAAAACGAGCGGACAACTCGAGTTAGGGAGTAGCAACGTACCGGTAGCAGCGCTTTCCGGCTTTGTGCATGGGTGCTCCCTATCCTAAACATGTATGACTAAATATCCTTCACCATGGACCGAAGATCCACTGGCTATCTTAACAGAAATGGGGTGCGCAGTCGCAATTCCCATACTTGTATTATAGAAGACTCAGAGGGGTGCGCGAGAGAAGACAGTTATAATGCAATGCAAATAATATTAAAATAGTAAAAAAGTAAACAATTAGCACATTCAGCCAACAAATACAATATCCAAAACATAAATAATTAAGTAAATAGTCATATATAAGTCAATATTATAAGCTCGAATTCTGGTTATTCCCCGGCGGAGTCGCCATTTGTCACACCCCTTTTTTCCTCAATATTTAATTTAAGTATGTTTTGAAAGAAAAAGAGTTTCTCCAATTAAAGTGACATTTTTGAAAAGGGATTATTTTATTATTCAGAGTCGCCACTTGGAATTGAGTTTTGGTGTTCCAAGTCACCTTATTATTTAAACCCCTAATCAAAAGGAAATTTGACTCTTTATTTTTATTGGTCTGCGAGAACAAAGATCGGGTAAGGAATTCTGTTGACCAAGGGGAAGGTATTAGGCACCCCTCGAGTCCCGTGGTTCTAGCACGGTCGCTTCATTGACTATATATGACTTAAATTAATTTTCAGATATTGTATTATTAACTTAATAATAAAAGTTATTTACCTCATTATTTGGTTTATTTTAAACCTATTTATATTATATTAATATATTTTCGTTAATTAAAAAGAATGTATATCACATAAATTTATTCAAACATAATAAAGTAAAATTAATAGATGGATATTTACAAATCTTGATTTGTCTGGTAATTTCTTTTCTTCTCCTTTTCTTTTTCATGTATTTGTATTTATTTATTTTTTTATTGTGGATAGAAAATATATGGGTATCTAATTGCTAGGAATTAGAATTTGTGTGGGATTGAAATTTTTTGAGTTTGAGTATTTTAGGATTGTATTTTCTTAGTTAGATTAGAAATAGAAATAAAATTTTATGTGATTTGGAATTAGTTTTAGCAAGAAATTCTAAATAGATTAGGACTATTTTTTAGAAAGATTTTTTCCTTCTTAATTTTTTAATTTTTTTTTCTTTACTTTTTATCCCTTTTTTGACGTTTTGGTTTTATTAATTATTATTTTATTTTTTTTATTTTTGTTTTGTCTCTTTGTATTATTTATTTTTTACGTTTTTTTTTTTTTTTACTTTATCCTTTATTTATTTTTTTTAATATTTTTTTTATTCTTTTTGGACATTCTGTTTCTCGTCTTCTTCTTTTTTTTTTTTTGTTGTTTATTTTATTTTATTGTTTTAATCATCTTACGTTTTCTGTTTCATTTTTTCTTTATTATTATTCTTTTTGTTCTTCTTACTTTTTGGTTTAACTTTTTTTTTTGTTTCTGTTACGCTCTATTTTTTATTATTATTCTTTTCGGTTTACGTATGTTCTGTTTATATATATATATATATTTTTTTATGCTTTCTCATTTTTTAAAAAAATTAGTTTTCTTAATTATTCATTATTTATTTTTTTAACCATAAATCTCTAAACAAATATTCATATATCCTCTTAATTATATATCTTAATAATTCGAATTAAAGCGATAATCATCTTAACACTTATTCTAAAGGCAAACTATTTTTTTATCAAAAATAATATATTAAAAAAAAAAAGAAGACTAAAACACATTCCTCATAGGTTTTCTAAAGCACTAATTTATATCCTAATCTAACAAGTCTACAAATAATTTCAACAAAAAAAAATTCTTAAGTGAAAACTAAGGTCCAAGAAACATTAGCTATTCAAAATTAAATATCACGAAACCAATTTCAATATTAATTACATCTAAAGAGCATAAAACAATAATTAAAAAAAATGTATGATACATCTTTTATTTTTATTTTTATATTATTCTAAAGCAAGAAACTTAAACGGTTACGTTTTTCTAAGCATTCATAAATTCATCACAAACAATGGTAGATAATAATAACATGCGACTCAGAAAACTTCATATTATTGGAATCAAATTTCGTACGAGCATTCCAACTACATTATGCGAGAATTTAGAGTTACCTCGCTGCGAAAATCGATACCACAAAAACAACTGCTACTATCTACTGATTTCCAAAGTTAATAGCTAATATTAACTTTAAAGAGCCACGAATCCGAAACCTTGAGTGAAACCTTGAATGCTGACTTAATTTTCAAAATAAAACTCACTTTTTGTTATCTTTTTCTCTCTGTGATTTTTTTTTCTGTGTGTCTGTGTATGTCTATGTGTATCCCCTTTTTTTCTTTACTGAGCGTATGTTTTTATAATAGTTTGGGGTGTGAGTCTGGTGCTAATTAAAAGGAACGTGATGGAGTGGGATTAGGATTTAATTTAAAATTTAGTTGAGAATTTTTAGGATTGAGATAAAGGAAGAAAAAAAGAGTAAAATAAAATAAAGAAAGAATGAACAGAAAAAGAAAGAAAAGAAAAAAAACGTGTAAAAATAAAAAAATAAAAAGAGAAAAAGAGAAAAGATCGTGCAAGAGGGGAAGAAAAGAAAGAAAAAAAAATAAAAAAAAACTAAATGGGAGCAGGATTTTTAGTAAATAAGTTAAGGAAGTTGGGGGTAATTAGGATAAAGGTAAGGTAATTTGAAATTTTTAGGACTCTTCTTTTATTCTTTATTATTATTATTATTTTTTCTTCTACTTTTCCATGATATATACGACTATTATTATTTTTTAGACTAGATAAAATTTGAAAGATTAAAACAAAATACGTTAAATTCAAAAGCTTTCTTTATTAAACTTTAAACATAAAGTGAGCTTATAATTTGTTGTAATTTTCAATTTATTTTAAATATAACCCTACTGAAATAATAATATTTAAGTATTAAAATTGGGCGTAAAATTTTTATGTTTTGGTCAAAAATTAGGTGTTCACAATGACCCAAAAGGTCATTTTTAGAAATTACTATTTTATTCCTCCCGATAGTTATCCTGAGTCATTTCTGATTAAGTCGGTGAAGCTGGTTTTAAGCAGGTTGTAGTTGTGGAGATTGTAATTGATGAATATTGAGTTTGTTGTTGAGGATATGTAATTGTTAGAGTGTTGTTGTTGAGATATCTGCTATGTGAATTGTGAACTGTTAGGTTGAGCTGGTTTTATGCATGTTGTAGTTGTGGAGGTTCGGTTGGGGTGTAAGGAGTACTCGTATTCTATCCCCTTAGCTTGTGTTTAGAGGTTTACTTGCTGAGTACCGCGTGGTTTGGTACTCACCCCTTGCTACTACATTTTTTTGTAGGTTACTAGCCCGGACCGTATTTTATCTTCTCCTTATCTGAGGCTTCTTGTGGAGGTTTGGGAGGTAGCTGCTTGTCATTTCAGCGAACCTTCTTTCTCCTTAATTATGATCTTGTTTTATTCTAGAAACAATGTCATTGAGACTTGTGTTTTTCTTTTGAATCAGTTGTAATACTTTAGAGGCTTGTACACGTGACAACCAGATTTTGGGGGTATTTTTGAGTTTATTATAAAAGTTTCCGCATTTTATTGTAAAGGTTGAGTTTTAGGCTGACTTGTCTTGGAGGGTTGAGACGAGTGCCATCACGTTCATTTTTGGGTCGTGACAATGTCATATCATGGCATGTGAAGTACACACATCCCACTTAGTTGATTTTTTGGAAAGAAGTGCTAAAATGGTACATAAAAATTGGAGTTGAAGGGTTAAAATGGAACAAGATTGAGTTGGAGTATCAAAATGAAATTTAGAAATAAATTTAAGGGTCTACATATGTGTTTGGCCTTTTAAATTTTTTATTATTATAATTTATGTAGTATTTATTTTGAGTAATTTACTAAAATGACCTTGGAAATGAATGGTGTCATCTCCATTTTGTTGTCATCACCTCTTTCACAAAATCGAAAATCCCACTTTTTCTTTTTTTGAGGCAGAGTTTGTAGAAGAACCCATGGCTTCCTGCAGCACCACTTTCACCCCCGGCATTCCATCTTGCCGCAATTTCACGAGAACATTCCGTCCGTCGTCGCCGTCATGGAGGAAGAGCAGAGTTGTTACTGCAAAACTTGCTCAGAAGAACGCAATGCAGTACAGAAAACTCGGAGACTCTGATCTTAATATAAGCGAAATTACTATCGGAACCGTAAGTTCGTTCGCTAAATTCAGTAGTTTTTGCTCAAATATATACAATTATTAAATTTAGAACCCAGTTAGTAGTCATTCGTTCTGTTCATTTGGGTACTTATGAAGTAATTGAAAATTTTGTAATGTGAACTCCTTCATAAATGCAGATGACATTTGGAGAACAGAATACAGAAAAGGAGGCTCATGAAATACTTAGTTATGCATTTGATCAAGGAATTAATATTATTGATACCGCTGAGGCTGTAAGCTACTCCACACTAACTTGGGAAGAAATTGCCTTCATTTATTTTACTGTTACTGTTCTTGACTTTACTATCTTCATAATAGAAGCTGAGTTTACTGAATTGTTGGGATGTAATTACAAGTTTAGTTTATTGCCTAAAAATTGCTTATTCATTTTACTATCTTGATACTACAAGCATTTTTGTATTTATTTCTTCTTTGCTATTGTATTCGAAGTATCCTGTCCCAATGAGAAAGGAGACTCAAGGAACGACGGATCTCTATATCAGTAGCTGGATGAAGTCCCAACCCCGTGATAAGGTAATTCTACCTTACTGGATTTATATGAAAGGTTGTGCATGTATTATCAATTTCTTGCTTTATTTTTGTATGGAACCTAATAGGGACTATTCCTACTACTTGCTAACTACAAAGGCATTATAAGATTGCCATCAAATCAGCTCTTTCGTATTTTTCCTTGAATTCTTATCCTTCTATTGTTTCAAATCTATTGCATTGAACTGTAACTACTGTTGATCTTTTTAAATGAATTCCTCGAGAAAATGATATACCTACTAAAGAATAGTTGGATATACTGTGTAGATGGTTACTTCTTGTGATTATTTGAGGTTGTAAAACAGTGAGACAAGAGAAAGCTGAGCTGCTAAAACAACTAAAGCTAGGTAACACGTTTTGCGTAACCTTCTTCAAAGAAATATGTCCATTTTGTTCTATAATTGTGTTTAAACTTCCTAGAGTACTCTTACCATCTGAAAGATCTGTTGATGTACTTCCTTGATCTAGCCAACATTGCATGCATCTTATTGTATTTCATGTTCTCCTTTGTTCTATAGGATTTGATGGCTTTCTGCTGAGTGCTGAGTGTCTAAGTTGCTCAGTTTGGGGTGCGGGTATCCCATACGGGTGCAACTCTAAAGGTCGGATTCTTCATCACATAAATTTTAGGATTAAGGGGTATGGATCCAAGTGCGGATACGGGTGATGGGATACTGCCAATAAATGTGCATTACGACTGATAAAGTATATATCTCGATTGATTAAAGTTATTGAACTAAAACTAATAAAATTTAATTCTTTATAAACATCTAATATATCCCATATTAAAGAAAAACATATCATTCTTTATATATATATATATATATATATATATATGACATAAACCCAAAAGTCAAACCAAATATCCAATCAATCTATATTTCTCGATCATAGATGTGGTCAAATAACCCAAGGTAGGTAGACCAAATCCAGTGTGGATCCCACACCCATGCCGTGTCGACACGAGTGTGGCAAGGGTTTTGAAGAGTCTGAGCAACATAGGTGAGTCCGGGTTCACTGAGTCATCATCTCCAACTCCCAACTTTAGAACACATGCAGGGTTAGAGAATTTTAAAAGGCCAGTAGAACAGAATTGCTTAAAGTAGATTTTAGAGAAACGCTTGATCATGTTTATATGGACTAATTTGAGCTTTTGCTGGAAAAAGCAGTCATTTCTGTAGGCATAGGTATACAACTTTTTTTTTAAGAATGGTAAGATTTAATAGCCATAGGTATATAACTATTGAGAATATAAAGCTTGTGTAGTTCTGTTTTTGTTGATTGCCGCTAATTTATGCGCATGATTTCTCCAAATATAATTTTTTTTGTTCTTTTATGAGGAAGGACAAGAATTATGTTACTAGACAAATTGTTATGCAAGCAGGAAAGAAGAACAAATTAGAGACCAGCTTTATTAGTTAATAGAGCCTAATCTCAAGCATGAGTGAGTTAAACTTAGAACAGCTTAGGTTGTTGAGAACTTGAGGTTACAAATACTTTGTAGTGTTCATGTTGGATCTTACCTTTCAAATGTCCTCCCAGTAGTCCACAAATGGCATGAAGGAGTAATTTTGCAGTCAATTTATATTTTTTTCCAACTCTCTTGGTCCATAATAATTAAGATTATTAGCATGGCCATGATGCCAAATGTTACAATTCGTTGTAAGTTAACTACCAAAACCATTCTTTAAGTAGGTAAACCTCTCTTTTCCTGCATTGCCATTATAGCCATAATGTTTGGTGTCATTTTAATCAAGATTACTTTTTTACTCCTGTAGATGTGCACTGATATCTACTAATGTGATGTTGTTTTGTCCTTCAGGTGATTCTGGCTACAAAAGTTTGTGGTTATTCAGAAAGATCAAGTTACATACGTGAAAATGCGAAGGTTTTGCGAGTAGATGCTGCTAATATTCGAGAAAGTGTAGAAAAAAGTTTGAAACGTCTCAATATTGATTACATTGATTTACTCCAAATACATTGGTGAGTATTATTTGATGATATCATTGAAGAATTCTAAAAGTGCAATTTGATAAGTAATATACAGCATATTATTCAACTTCCCCAGTTTCTAGATGACACCATTTTCACTAAGTGGGGCTATTCCACATAATCGGGGTAGTTAAAAAACTATAACTTGAACTTTTAGTGAGCATATGATATTTCTCATTCTTCCTGGATTCTAGATGACTAGATATTACCTATGCTTTGAGCTTAGGTATCATAGCAACGAATTAACTTTTGTTCTGGTTCTTCAATTATTTTTCTTTTTTTGTTTTAGTTTTCCCATTTGGGATTGACAGCTAAGATGCTAGAGAGATTCTCTGTTTAGGAAGCTGTTGATGTGAGCCTCTACTGTAACTGCAGCATATGTTGGAGTAAAAGAGGCGATTGAAATGTGTAGGTGCAAAGCAACAACAGAGCAAGAGCTAGAGCTGTAGGTCAGTAATCAGAGAATATGAGACTCTGAGAGCAGGCTAAATGAACTGCTATTGTTTTATACATGCAGAAGGATCCTAGGAGAAAATGAAGTACTTATAATGGAAGTTCACTTGAGGAGCATTTTTCGTGGATTGTTTTGGAATTTAGGGAAACATTGACATAGAAAATCTATGGCTAAGTGAATGTAAGACGACGAGATGAGATAGTTGCATTAGAGAATCTAGGGATAAGTGAATGTAAGAGGGTAAGATGATCTAGTTCGAATAATAAGAAAAATGGAGAAACTACTTCCTTGGCTAAGTGAAAGTCTTAGGTGGCTTGCTAGTTATCACTGTCATGGCCTGGTACTTTTCTTTGTCTGGATCTTACAATGTTTTGTTTCTTGCTCTTCGAAGACACTTATTTACCTCCAACTGGAACAGAACTTAATATGTGATAAGTAGAGCATTTGTTAGAAGGTGACCTATTTACTAGTAATCTGCATACTCAACAATCTGTTCATGTCCTCATTCCTTTTGTAATTTTCCTTGTAGCCAATTTTATCTACCAAAGGTTGTAGACCAATACATCACAGTGAGTATCAAGCGGAGAGCCAAACATCGACTTGTAACACTCACTGAAAAGGCAATATCATATTCATGTTGAGTTATTATGAGATAGTTCAACTTACCTGGCAATTAGTGCCAACCTTTGTGCTAAAGATAATTTTACATTGCTACCTCTCTCAAAAGAAAAGAAACGTTCAACTTACCTAGCAATATCCTATGTCTCCTGGGATCACCGTACAAGCTTAAATTATGGACCCATAGGGCTGTCACAAGTGTACTATCTTCCGTACCTGTCTTCCTTTTAAGTGTGGATAAGTATACTTCCACATAGAGATGACAATGTCTGATGTAAACTAGATGAACTCATCATCCTAGAAAAATATTGCAATCTACCTAGATCCTTGGTCTGAAAGGGCTTAACGAGATGAAGTTTACTTTGCTAATCCCCTATTGATCACTTTCTGAGATAACTGTCATTAGTATAAACTACCAAGTATCTTTTTCACTATAAGTCATTTCAAACTTCTTAATAGCCATTGAATTTGTCAGACTCTACTCGAGTAGATTGTTTCAAACCATACCAGCACCCTGCATGCAAGACCACTAGACTCCTGAGAGCTAAGTAACCTAGTTGTTTCCCCATATATACTTCATCCTCATTGCGTCTTGTATGTTATCATCTGGACCAACCTTGACTGTGTAAACCCAACAAGTAATAGTAGATTTACTTGGAGGTAGGAGAGAAGTTTCCAAGGGCCACTAAGAGTGTACAGTGTACAACTCAATCACAACTTGTTGGCATGCTAAATGAGAGAGAGTTTCACTTGTATTCTTGAGGTAGAAACAAAAGAAAAGGATGATAGCAAGTTGGTGGTAACTTAAAAATATAAAATTGAGGTAATTTTGAGTATAGCAAAGACCTCTCCAAGCAGCCCCTGGAAGACTGTATGTAGCATTGACAAGTCTGTAACAGAGGAAGAGCATCTGGTATTTGACACAAAAGATACCAAGTTGATTTTGTATTAATACAAAGATCCAAAAAATGGAAATCAACTCAGATTAAGAAGATCAACTACACATTGAATAATCATCTTTGACAACTTAATAATAGGAACTCAAAGTAGAACTATTTCGATCAGAATTCCTAAAATCTGAGTGGACTAAAGAGAAGGGAGGATTTACCCCATTATCAAGATGACATCCTAAGAAAAAAGGGTATCGCACCCAAGAGTGTGGACTGTGGCCTAGTGGTCGATGAAATGGTTGAGAACCCTAAGGTCTCAGGTTCAAATCAGTGGAGACAAAGAAACACTAGATAATTCTTCCCATTTGTCCTAGCCTTGGTGGACAGAGTTACCTGATGCCTGTTGCCCATGGGAGATGACAGGTATCTTGTCGAATTAGTCGAGGTGCGTGAAAGCTGGCTTGGACACCGCGGTTATCAAAAAAAAATAAAAAATAAAGAGAGGCTATCCATACAAAATTGACACGACTTATATTCTGAGATACAGAAGTGAGAACATGTAGACACTATTTTCTGAAGTTTAGAAAAACTAAGATGTCAATAGAACATGTTGTAGGTATCTCTGAAGAGCGAGGTAGTAAAATCTATATGAGATAATTGAAGGACTATCAAATATTAGGGGAAGGGCTGCACGACCTGATAGAATAGTGATGAAGAATAAACCAGGAGCTATAATTGAGTTTCTTACAAATTGGGAACAGTCCTCCAAATACCGCATTGTCCTAAAGTCTAATCACTCCACCAGAAAAGAACCACAAACACCCTGGAACAGCCTGGAGGATTGCAGGTTTTATGTGAGACCCGAAGTGTCTGAAAAAGAGACTGAAAGTTGCTGGAGGAAAAGAAAATCTAAAAGTTGCTTGATAAGTTGAAGGATCAAATTTCCGATCACCTATAAAATCTTAAACTGGACTGTGAATGGCACATGCCCAATCGAGCCTCGAGCAAGCGAGAAATCCCCAAATATTGTTGAAAATAAAGAACCTTTCCAGAAAATTGATTAAATCACCGAAACCCAAGCATCTGGTCTTCTTAGACTACTGGATTGGATGAATCACTTCGAATGGTCCAGTTGACTTCCAAAGTACCTAGATCTAGTCCTAAGCTCGCCAAGAAAGGCCTCATGCACTAGCACATTAGACAAAATTTGTTGGCAAATTCTGGCTTCTAATGGTGCATCGGGCTTCAGATTAAAAAGTGGCTTCCAGGGTTGTGTTCACACGAGGATTTCAGCCTTGTCCTGGTGTTGGTTTATGCACAATACGCACAGACCAACCTCATATCCAGCAGATTCTATGATTGTTGAAATTGTGCATAGAGAATGTTTTTTCTCCCGAATGTCACCTGTGAATACACGGTGAGGTAGTAGGACTAATTTCTCGCTTAAAGTCCATTAACATGTTAGAAACAAACATCACAATGAAACGAGATCGGGAGAATGCGTGAAAACTAATGGCTTACCCCTCAACCATTCTATAGGCTACTTTACAATGTACATAACTATATTTACCCTATGTGTGATATATCACATCAAATTTTTATGCTACACTTAATTATCTGACAGAGAGCTACCTCAGCTCATTACAGTGCTATTTTCAACTAATTGTGATGTGTGCTAAAGTGATGGACATAATTGACTAGTTTAAAATCATTATTTTCTGGATGTATTTCTTGTTAAGACAATAAAAAGGTCCTCGGTTGAGAGGTTTTACGAGCTAACATGCATATTTAAAGGCGGATGACAAATTTTGTTTCATCATTTTTTTATCTATGATACATCTTAACATTATTGATTAGAATGACTGATTAACCTAGAAGGTCCTCTGATGTATCACAGAAGACAAGTGTAGGTTCCTAGCAAAAATAAATTGTTATAGAAAGCATGCTTGAATTCAGTCTGGTGCTGACTAATAACGTATTCATACTGTGTATTGAAGCCACCGGCATAAATTACTTGTTTAAGTTGATCAATTTTTACATGTCTTTCTTGACAAACTGATAAATCATTCTTGGTTGATAGATCTTACCAGCTAACCTTCATGTTTCAAGACACTTGACAAAAAAAATTGGGTTGTTTTTATCTTGCTTGTGTCTGAAAGAATTGTAAAATTGTACGTTGTGTCTGAATTTGTTTTATCTCTCTCTTGTTTGCTCGTTGTGTATATCATATATGTCAATACGGAGACACATAGAGATACGTACACACAAACACATGTGAAATATGTAAAGAGGTGGTTATCTCATTTCTGTAATCTGATGTAAAACTTCTCAGGCCAGACAGATATGTTCCATTGTTCGGCGAGTTCTTTTATGAAACTTCAAAATGGAGGCCAAGTGTGCCTTTTGTTGAGCAGCTTAGAGCCTTTCAGGAACTCATCGATGAAGGAAAGGTATGTTTGCTTTTTGCGCAGGCAGTAACAATTGCACTAATATTACTGCAGATCTGTCAGTGAAATGAATTAAGTAAGATGCTTTATAGTTATAATTTTACTAATTAAAGTCTTAGGATATCTTTCATTTTTCCTGGATTTGTGGTTTCAACTGTAAAGGAAGATTTATAATGCATCTATAGCAGCGGATTGACTAATGATAGAAGATTTCAAATAACACCTATATAAAAGGAGCTCTAAATTGAAAATGGTCACAAAAATTATTAGGTTTGTTAACAAGCAGAATTGCAACTCGTGTTTACTTGTACATGTGAAGTACAATTTTTATGTGTAAATAGAGGGCTTCAAATCATTTGCATTGAAGTGGAACATTAAAGCTTAGTTATCGTGTTGTTTGTTGGTTCTTTTATAACCAAAAAATATTGTAGTGCATTTTCACATTTAGTTGTTAAATATCCTTGCGAGATGATAATATAAAATATATTTCCAAGTGATAAACTTAAGGTATATGCTTGTAGGGGTGTGCATACTTTGGTAAATACCAAATCATCGTACCAAAACCAAAAAATTTGGCGCTTCGGTTTCGGTATTATGGTATTTGTGGTTATGCATTTCTGGAAATGTGGTATTCGGTTTTTATAGAAAAAATATTGAAATACCGAATAACATACCAAAATACTTAATTACATATACAATCCATGTATATTATTATATAGATTATAATTTAATTAATCTAAATATAAACTAATAAAAGGTCTAAAATCCTTCGGACTAAAAAGCTTCTTCCGTTTTACTACTAAATATGAACTAAATAATTAATTACAAATAATAACAATACAAATTACTCGACATTTGTTCGTTACCAGCCAACACTAGACAATTTTTCTTCATTTCTAACATGAGAAATAACAAAGTCCCTAGGGAGATTCTATGAGGATGCTTGGAGGCTAAAAGTGTATTTGTAGTATACACTAGGGTGATTAAGGATATGTATGATGGTGCTAAGAGCTGGGGTCAGGACTTTGGAGGTAACACAGAACACTTCCTAGTCATAATGGGGTTCCATCAAGGATCTGTTGTTAGCCCATTTTTATTTGCTTTGGCGATGGATATTCTGAAGCGACACATTCAAGAGGAGGTGACATGGTGCATGTTGTGGATGATATAGTAGTTATTGATGAGACGCCAAGCGGCATTAACGCGAGGCTGGAAGTTTGCAGATAGACCCTGGAGTCAAAAGGTTTCAAGTTAAGTTGGACAAAAACTGAATACTTGGAGTGTAAGTTCAGTGATGTGTCCCATGAAGCGGATGCGGAGGTGACTCTTGACACTCAGATCATCCCCAAGAGAGCAAGTGTCAAGTACCTAAGGTCAGTTATCCAAGGTAATGGGGAGATTGAAGAGCATGTCACGCATTGTATTGGGCCGAGATGGATGCTCGCATCCCGTGTTCTGTGTGATAAGAGTGTGCCGCCAATAATTAAAGGTAAGTTCTATAAAGTGGTAGTGAAACCGACAATGTTATATGGGGTAGTGTGTTGGTCTTGGTTGTCCAAAAGATGAGAGTAGCAAAGATGATGATGTTGAGATAGATGTGTGGGCATACTAGGAGGAATAAGATTAGGAATGAAGTTATTCGTGCCAAGGCGGGAGCAGTGTTTTGGAGAGCGAGAAGCGGAAAAAAGCGGCGAGGGCTTGCTTCACCGAAGCGTGAAGCGAAGCGCACACTTTTTTCTCTAAAGCGTTATTTAGTACAAAAACAAAAATATTAAATATGCATGTATAAATAACCAAGAACTCAATAGAAATAACATATTAAGCAAATCTTACAATTTCTTAATTAAAAAGTAAATAAAAAATAGTCAATAATCCTCATAATCATAACATATTAGGCAAATGCAAACAGCACAACCAAATCAGTAAAAAAAACAGAGCATAACCGGGGGAAGAAAACCCTAGAAGCAGTCGCTGAAAGCCTGAAGGAGAGTCCAGAGAAGAAGTAAAAGAGAAGAGAGGACGAACTTATTGTCTGAGTTGCAGCAACAGTCGTTGAGATGTTTGAGTCACAGTAGAAGAAGAAGAGGGAAATGTTTGAGTCGCATCAGACAAGTGTGTTACACAGAAGTTAAAAAAAAAAAAAACTAACAACGCTTAAGCGCACTTTTTGTCGCTTTTGCTTTAAGCGCGCTTCTCGCTTTGCCTACTGAAGCGCTCGCTTTTTCAATAACACCTCGATCAGAGCATAAAAGCGCAGTGCTTGCTCCCCGCCTCGCTTCACGCTTTAAGGGCGTTTTTTGTCACTTTTCACAACAGTGAGCGGGAGTGGCCCCATAGAGGATAAGGTACAAGATTTAAGGTTGAGATGGTTCGGACATGTGAAAGAGGAGATGTGTGGATGCCACGGTAAGGAGGTGCGAGAAGGTTGGTCTTAAAGGGCTTGAGTAGGAGTATAGGTAGGCCTAAGAAGTATTGTGGTGAGGCGATTAGGTAGGACATGGCGCAGCTATAGCTCACCGAGAATATGACCCTTGATAGAACGGTGTGGAGGTCGAGGATTAGGATAGAAGGTTAGAAGGAAGTTGAGTGCTTTGCTGTCCCATTCCTAAAGTATTAGAATTAGTCTTGTTATTTCGTATTCTTAGATTTCTATTTCTATTTCTATTGGTTGATTCTTTAGCTTTGATTATTGTATTTTCATGTTGTTCTTCCTGCTTCTTGTTGTTGTCGTTTTTTCCATCTGTTTTGTGCGAGGGTCTATCAGAAATCACCTGTCTTCCTTTTTAAGGTAGGGGTAAGGTCTGTGAACACACTACCCTCCCCAAACCCCGCTTGTGGGATTACACAGGGTATGTTGTTGTTCGAGCATGACAGAGTTTCCACCATTGTAAAAGTCATAATTTTCCCTTGTACGTAAGTCGAAGTGAATAAGTTGTGGTTACGATTTACCATACAGCACAAACCAAATACGGAGCCATATTTAAAAAACTTGATATGGTAATGGTAGAGCATTTTTTAAAATTGAAATTACCAAATCTGAAGTTTTCAAAACCGTACTGTGTTATATCATGATCGCTCCTATATGCTTGCAAGGAAACTGAACTGGTAAACGGAAAATGTTAGTGAATAAGCACATCAGGTCTCTTACGCATGGTTTAGTTTTAGTTACACATTTTGCAATGCTTACAGCCAATAAACAAACCTGATTTTTATGCATGGTTTCGTTTACTCATTTTTCATGCTTGTTATGAATTATCACACCTGATCTTTTATCATGGTTTGGTGTGCACATTTTGCAAAATAATTTGAGATTTCATTTTGCTTTGTAAATCTCAAAAATTGATTAACTTTATGGGCAGTTAACTTTGGGATCTAGTTATCTGAAAGTAACAATTAAGCATTACTAATTTATTCAGGTGCGCTACATTGGTGTTTCCAATGAAACTTCATATGGAGTAATGGAGTTTGTCCATGCTGCAAAAGTTGAAGGATTGCCAAAGATTGTCAGCATTCAGAATAATTACAGTCTGCTGGTTAGGTGCCACTTTGAGGGTAAGTTGTCCTTTCTAATGTCCTACTAAAGTAGTTTAGCTGTGAAACTCCTCTCAATGAGATATGTAGCTTAAACATATATTTTGATTTTTGCAGCACTTTTGTCAGTTTTTTCTGTTCATACTTTGGCGCTCTTACAGGTTGAGTAATAGGTTTTTTGTTTAAGAGTAAAAGGAGGTCTGACATCCATTAGATGAGAAGAACTCCAAGATGCTTAATGAAAATGCTGAGGAACTCGGTACTCCAACCATCGTCAATTAGTTGAAGTCGAATATCAATTTTTTCAACATGGTGTCAATCTGAGGTTTTGTTATCATTCAGCCTGTTAAGAAAAATTGACCCAGGGCCTAAATAGATCCCATAATCTAGCTCATGAGGTAAGGATTATCCAAAATCACATATAGAGAATATAATCCTTACCCTCAACCAATATGGGCTTCAGTATACCCTACCCTGCGCTCTTAGAACTAAATACTTAGTATGTATAATATGAACATTGTTGCCCAACATTTGGTAAACCAAGATCAGGGATAGGTAAATGGACCCTGTGTCTTAATCAACCGCAATATCTAGCTCGTGAGGTGAGGATTGTCCAAATCATGATAAAAGACTATACCGCAAAACCCTCAACTATTGTGGGACTCTAACACAACATGTCTGTGCTACGCATCCATTTGAGGTATCCACATAGATGCGTTATGGGGTCAATTCATTTGTCTAGAGGCTTTGCTTTTAATCTTAAGTAGAATGATTGGAAGAGTGCAAAAAATGAGAATGAAGAACTCCTGTGATGATTAAGTAAAGAGTGCAAGGTGCTTAAGCAATAATCCTAGGACACTCACTCTACTCTTTTGCCAATATGTTTCTGATCAAGTGTTGAGGTCTTTAACAGCTCGCTTACAAATCGATATTTTAGTACTTTTATGTCTAGTTAGTTACATCATTGAATCCTATTTGCTTAGCTCTTAGACTACTATTAGAATCCAGTTTCAAGTGTTGAGGTCTTTAACAGCTCGCTTACAAATCGATATTTTAGTATTTTTATATCTAGTTAGTTACATCATTGAATCCTATTTGCTTAGCTCTTAGACTACTATTAGAATCCAGTTTTACCCAATTCCCTTTACAGCTGTCCCTAATACTACTCCTTTATGAGTGGTCATTTTCCCATTCACAAAAATACCGATATCATCCGTGCTACCTCTGCAGAACAATCTGCCTGTACCTCATAAAAGAATAGAAAACCACTTTCTAAAGGTTCTTTTGAATATTGGTGAACTGATTCTGATCTCCTTTCTAATCACATGTTATCTGTTCTCTAATCTGTCTTAAGCCACTTTTGCACATATGTAAATACCCAAATTGTATAATTGGATCAACATTGGTGAGGTCATTTCTCTAAGGAATGTGATTATCCACTGGATAAGTCCATTACATCCTTAAAGGCTGCTATCAATGCTCATCATTGACGCAATCTGCCTAACAGCAGCGCTGCTAATCTTTAAGATACAGGAAACTTTGCTTGCCATGGTAGCTAATCATAGACGCAATCTGACTATCTCAATTTGTATGAGCTGTTTCTTGCGGATGATCACATTTGACACTATAAACTCCAAAGTCACATTTGTCATCTTTTGACAAGAACTCTTTTTTTGTTTCACATTGGCATGTTATAAATTTTGGGCCTTTCTTGTACTTGGATAATGTTGTTAAGGGACCTTACGGTTTAAGTGATAAATAACCTACTAGTGGTAAAAACAACTGTAAAACAACCTAGTAAAATTAACCTATACTGATGAAACAACCTAGTAAACAATCAAATGCAGCAATACATGTTCCATTGGAGTGAGTCATTGCTGCTGTTTTTGATCAAAAGAAAATAATTGTATTTACATCAAGCATCAACATTTTTAATTTTCCGCTTAGCATAACAAGTTTTTGGTTGTTCTTTGTAGTTGATCTTGTTGAAGTATGCCACCCAAACAACTGTAACATTGGTTTACTTTCCTATTCTCCACTGGCTGGTGGAACCTTATCGGGGAAGTATTTGGACAATAATTCTGAAGCTGCTAAAAAAGGAAGACTTAACCTATTCCCAGGCTACATGGAAAGATACAATAAATCCCTTGCCAAGGTGCGTGTTTTTCAAGTTTTACAAGAAAGGAAAGTTAATTGATTGTTTGAGTAGCTTTATAAGTTGGCAAAAAAATTAAACTTTCGAGTGTAAGTTTGCCAAGGGTGAAATACGTAGTTTTGGGATCGACTGGAGTCTGGAAGGCGTAACTTAGGGGACGCCATGCCACAATCAGTATCCTCCTCCCCCTACCCCAAACCAAAAGAAAATCATTGAAAAATAGAGGTTGACAACCTTGAAATTTTTCAATAAATTTGAAAAGAAAAATCTTAAGATTGTCTTTTGGCCCCTGCTTTCTTTTTTTTGGCTGCAGTTGCACCTAGTTCGATAAATTAATCCTGTGCCTTTTTGTCCATTGTGTTGTGTGCATTACTTTGCTATTGCTATATTTCCTAGACAGTGTCCAAAAGATAAGCTTTGGGTACAATTTGTCATGGATTAAATTCAGCTCGCTACTTAAAAACGAGAACTACATATCTGCACACAAAACCTGATTAAGGTTAGCACTACTTATTTGCATGAAAATTTGACAATTAGAAAAAGCAAAAAGCACATTTTGAGTGCAATTTAATAATAATATTTATACTTATATAGTGTGTAAGTGGTTCATTGCTTTTCAAAATATATATAGAGTATCGGTACTCATTCATTAGTTTGACGGTCATTATATATTAGCTTGAGGTTGTTATCCTGTCTTAAAATTCAGAACCCACACCTCAATAAATTTCAGAATCCACAAACCTCAAATCATGGCTCCGCCTCTCAGGATCACACAGTAGAAGAAGGTTGAAGAATAAACAGAGAATTGTTGCTCATCTTTAACGTTACAATGTGAAAATGCATTTCTACTTTAGTAGTCGTGCGTGACTTTAGACATGTACAATGTGAGAAGCTTATACCATGCTGCAAGTTTTAATGATTGCTAGGATGTTTTTTTGGTGTGTTGTCATGTTTAATTTCCAGGAAGCAACTAAAAAGTATGAAGAAGTGGCCAAGAAGCATGGTCTAACTCTAGTTGAGTTGGCCCTAGGATTTGCCCGAGACCGTCCCTTTATGACAAGTTCAATTATAGGCGCAACTTCGGTGGATCAATTAAAAGAAGATATTGATGCTTTTTTGACAACTGAGAGACCTTTGCCACCTCAAGTAATGGATGATATTGAAGACATTTTCAAGAGATACAGAGATCCTGCTTCAAGATAGCCTGCCAATTTCACTTGTCAAAAATTGTTCTCACTATTGCAGAACTTGATTTGAATTTCTTGGGAGGGCTGGGATGTTAAGAAAACATCCGAATTTACCACAAGATGCCTTTTGTTTATGCCTATCTATTGTGTACTGGGGGTAGGGGGAGAGCTTTTCATCTTTGTCACATCTGTTATTCTTTTAGTCATAGTCTATCGATATCAACATATTGATCATATTAGGTATTTTCTTTGATGGTTCATATCTTGAATTGGGCATGTCCTTGTGATATTCGTATGAATTGAGTTGTCAACATAACAACTCAATAGGATACCCGTCTTCGTTTGTTTCTTAAGAATCACAATATTTTATTCATCAAAAAAATGGATTTCTTGACTTCCTTGTAATTTCTTCTTTCAATACTCAGCTGAGTTGTTAATGTTAGTTACTATTACAATACCCAACTGCCAAAGTAACAATTTTCATGTTTGAGTTGTCAGCACTGGCTTCACAATGCATCCAGGTTGGTTCTCTGGAATCACTTTTCCAGTGTGATAACTCTACCAGCGGACTTTGTGGCTCTTGCAATTTTTAGTATCCAGTAATAAAAGTGATTTTAATGACATGTTTATGAGTTTTTTAGATAGTTTTTTTTTTTTTTGTATAATTTTCAAACATCTAAACTTGAAATTTAAATTACTGAATTAATCTAGCTCAGTTTAGCTCTAGAGATTAGACACTCGTAAAGCTAAACCTTACAAGTAACATGAACGGAGAGAGTACTATTTTGACCAACTCATATTTGTCCGATTGGCATTTGACTTACTAAGGGACAGGTAAAACATTTCCTACCAAAGAACCTCCCACTCCCAAGGTTTAATTAAATCTCATGGTACCCAAGTAGGCCGTAAATAACAGACCGACTTCTCGCCCTAGGACTCGACTCACTGAGAGGAGTGTCCACAAACCGTATCTATGGATGGAAAGTGTACTCATTAAACCCTTTGGCACAAGGCTGAGCAGCCTCGGAGCCACTTCACCAGCTTCAACCATGACTGACTCTATTCATGGAAAAAACTCAAGTAAAGCTAAATCGATATTTTTAAATTGAAGCAGTTCCTTGTAAAAGGAATTAAAAATAGAACAAGAATGGTTAATCTGACATTGTCAGGTTATGCAAAAATTGTGAAACACAAGTACCATACACTCCACTAGCTTGGGATTGAGAATGTATAGAGCCGATCGTAAACCTGTTTGGGATTGAGGATTAGTATAAGTTTGAACCTTATAAATGTCAAATCTATTTCATATTCGCAGAATATAGCAAGGTATAGAAAACAGCATTAACTTTAGTCAGAGGTAGTAAAAGACTAATTACAGAAGGGCAAGCACCCTGAAGATGGCATAGGGCGGCGCTATAGATGGCCACAAAACTTGCAAGGACAGCCAAACAGTCCATTAAACATCTTCTCCAAACAGAAAGAAGGTCATCAGAAAAGCAAGAACATCATCATCAAGGTTGAGTTTCATCACAAAAGCTAGAACGTCATTGAAGCTTGAGTTTCCAATCAGAAGAAATTCAAAGAAACTTGTCAAAACTTCATAATTGATTTCCTTCGACAACAGTCAACTCTTTTTTACCCTATAACACTGCAAAGGAAGCAAGAACATTTCGAATTAAAGTAAAATCAAATTAAAGGCAGCAATGTTTCAATAGTTACTTCAGTAAAGATGGAACTCAGCTGTCCCTACCATTACATTGGAAGATGAATGTAGCGACAAGACCGAGCACTAGCATGAAGAGTCTCCAAGATGAATTAATATCAGAAGATAACCTATGCATTGCAAAAGGGTTCGAAACAAGTTTAGATAGCACAATATTCAGAAATCTTTATTACCAGTCATCACACAAGTACAAGTCTGCACTAATAGAAGTAGCAGGGCAAAGAGAGTATTCAGCAATTTTAGAATAAAAATATTACAAGAACATAAACATGCTTCTTATAAATTAATCACTAACTAACTGATCAAACTAAAATATATATATTACTAAATTGATTCAAATGCTGCGACAAAAAAAAAGTGTGTAGATTACAAATCATGATTCAAATTCTGCAACAAAAAAAGATGTATTGATTACAAATCGTGCATCCAAGTGAATTCATGAGAATCGTAGGTTGATGAAAGGAAATAGAAACCCCCATCTAATTTTCTTTTAATGAAATAATAGAAACGCCCATCTGTTTCAGCGGAGAGGAAAGGAGAAAGGAAAAACTGAAAGCCAAGAAACTAGAAAGGGAAAATAAAACCCAAAACAGAAATTAAAGGTATCACCATTCACCTCTAAAATTACAGATAGTAAGTTCCTTTAGGAAGAGAGAGAGAGAGAGAGCCCGGGGGGGATCTTATATCAATGCAATGAAATTGTAGACATCTTGCCAAAAGAGTACAATTCCCATCCATCTCTTTAGTCACCCCCCACAACCAGCTGAATCTTGAGCAGGTTCCCAGGTCACGAAATAAGGGGCTAGAATTGCCACATGAATGCAGGAATTATCGTAATGAGCTCATGACAGTACTTGTTGTATAGGGGCAAGTTAAGTAGCTCTAAAATTTTACAAGAGCCAAGTAAAATGAAATTATCACTCCTGAAAATTCAGCAGAATTCCAAGTGAGACAAAAAAGGTTGTTCCGAAGTCTTCATTCCTCACCATCTTGATTCAATAAATTGGGAATAGTACCATATCATCTTCTGTAATCATTTTCCTCTTTTCAACTAAGTGAGAAATTGTATAACTGCAAAATTTGGTTTGGTCTGGAATAATGATCTCACATACTCATATTTTGGCAAAAGGATACCGAGAAGGTAGAACATAACATACGTAAGTCAAAAAAATTCATAGAACTCACACAATAGCATTAAAAATCCATTCGAATTTAAAGCATGTGATTTGAAGTTTTGCTTATAAAAGCACAACCTGTGTTGCAGGAAATTGATTTTTTTTAATAAGTGAGATGGCATGAAATTAATCTATGAAATGCCTATTCGATATGTTATAACTTACATGAATGGAAGGTGATAGTAAAAATGATTAACCCTGTGAACCAGAGATTGGACCGCGACCACCACGACCACTGCGCCCACCGCGACCTCGAAGAACTCGCCCACGGCCTCTTGTCGGTGTAGAAGAAAGCATAGCAGCCTGCCTAATAGAAGCCCTTTCTCTAGCCCTCTCATTTAAGTTTATAGTTCTTGAGCTCCTATTGACAGGTGAGACCTGTTTCCCTTCTTCTGTTTCAGCAGCAGCACTTTCACCCGAACCCCCTTCTTTTGAATTGCTACTATCAACTGGACTGCTTGATGGTTTCTCAGCAGTAACAGTATCCACAGCCTGATCAGTTTCTGCAGCAACCTGGTCACCACCATCATTCAACTTATCAGAACTTTCAGCTAGCTCTTCTGTCGCATCAACTTCATCATTCTTATCATCATCTGGGAGCTGAGAAGATTCTATCTCCCCGGGGTCTGTTGGAGTAAGCAAGAGGTCTTCATCAGTACCAGCTAAGTCATCAGTCTGAGGTTCCAAATTTTCTGGGCTTCCCATTGATAAAATGCTATCAAAATTTCCAACATCTTCAGGATCAGCAACTAGCTCTCCCTCTTCCCTTTCATCCATCGCTAGCTGCTCACTCTCTTGTTGCACCTGAAATGTTGATTTATTATCTGGGGTAGACACTTCATTAGAACTGACAAAAGTATCATCTGCAATATCTGTTCTATCAACCTGTGACTCAGCCTGATTTGTTGCAACAACTGACGGCTCTTCAACCTGCTCGCCAGAAAGTGTAGTCTCATCCTTCTCAATATCACTGGCTTCCTCTTTCAAACCTTGGGTTTCATCACCAGCATCATGTTCCTCCGTAGTAGGCAGAGATTCTGAATTTTCTACATTACCAGCAGATTTATCTTCACCACCTTCTTGAGGTGCCTCTAGATGTTTGGACTTCTTAAGCACAGGTTGAGCCACATCTAAGCAGGTTTCATCCATGGCAGGAGTTTCTTCTTGTAACTCTGAGGTAGAGGCTGCAGATAGGCGCTTGCGAATTGGTGGTTGAGTTGATAATGTGGCATTATCTAGATTTTCTGCATTTTGAGGTGGCAAATGCTTCCTACTGTTGGTGGATTCATCTATATCTTGCATCTCCACATCAACTAAAGGTTCCTCTGGCTTTGTGATGCGAGGTCGAACCAATTTCCTTCCGGTTTTACGAGTTTCGGAGGTTATCTTCGATAAAACAAGTCTTCTTTCTTCTTCTGCTTTTCCAACTGCAGGAATGGAAGTCAACAAGCTAGCTGGTGGCGGAAGCGTAGCTGCTGGGCCTGGAACAACAGAGGCAGAAAGAGAAGCATCTGGAGCAGAAGTGTCACCAGCACCAGAAACCCCAAGCTCATTACGTGCAACCCGTTCAAAGTCATCTACAGCCTGAATATATGCAGCAGTAAAATCCTCTAAGTGAGTCCCAGAAAGTAGTTGATCCACTGATGTGCCCTCTGTTTGACTGCCTTTGGTTTGCCTTATCTTCTCAACTTCATCGGTAAGCATCTTCAGAGCCTGCTTATGCTTGTCCATTTCATCTGATAGCTTGGACCGTTGCTGATTCACAGTTCCATAGGAATCCCCTATTGTCTTTTGCATCTTCAAGCGCTTTGATCTCTCTTGTTTCAACTCTTCTCTAAGACGGTCTGTGATCTTCTCAAGCCCCTGGATTCTGGTGTTTTTCTCCTTTTCTTTATCTTTCAAAGCCTGTTCATCTGCAGCATCAGCAGTTTTTTTCCATTGTTTAGCATCTTCCAACTGTTTGGAGAGAGCTTGATTCTCTCTAGCCAAATCATCTTTTTCCTTTGATAAGCTGTCTGCCCTTTCCTTTTCCTTCAACAAGTTTTCAACCCTTTTCTTCATTAGAACTGCCAACTTTCTTTGTTTATCAACTTCAGATCTCAGCGAGGCCTCAGTTTGCAAAATCTCATTGATTCTCGATTCCCTCTGACTCAATTCTGTTCTGCTCCTTGAAAGGTCTTGCTCTAAGTCAGCTACCAGATTCTGCTGCTCAGACATGGTTTTCTTAATTTTCTCCAGCTCTACATCTTTTTCTCTCAGATTCACCTGCATCTGTGAAGCAGCTTCTTTCAGACTTGCATATTCTTCTAGGTCAAAACTCTTGTACCTCTCAACCAACTCACTAACCCTCCTCTCAAGCTTCTCTTTATCCAGCTTCTGCATTTCAATCTCTTTCCTACAAGCTTCTACATCAGCTTGTCTTTCATTAAGAAGCTTCTCCAGATCCTCTAATTCAGTTTTCATCTTCTGGGCAGCTTGGCGAAGTTTCTGGCATTCTTCAACATTGTGCCTGTTCTCCTCTCTCAATTGCAAGTTGCTTTCACGAAGTAAGTTCAATTCTCTAACCTGAAGCTGCAGTGATTTAAACTCCTCTTCACTTAAAACCTGAGCTCTTGAATTCTCCCGCTCAGAATTAAGTGATGCTTCTGCTACCTCCACTCTCCTCAGAGCATTCTCAAGCTGTGATTGCAACCGAAGTTTTTCCTGTCTGAGCAAAGAAATTTCTGTTTCTGCAATTTCCTTGGACCGTCTTAGATAATTCACAACATTCATCAGTCCGTCATCACCCTCGGCCACTGTGCTTCCAGCAGATACACCTGAAGATACACGGTCCTTCTCAGCCAGTTTAATATACAAACCCTCAAGCCGGTCCAGTAATATTTTGTTCTGTTCATTAGCCTCAGTGTATTTCTTCTCAGCTTCAGTTTTTGACACTTCTAGCACCGACAATTCTGCCTCCCACTTGGCCTTCAATGCATTATTTTCGGATTTTAGAATATCTGACAACTTACGGAGCTCAGATGACTCTTCTTGTAAGGTTGCCAAAGCTTGAGATGTTCTAGTCAGTTCTTGAATTGTTTCTGACTGCAGAATTACCTGTCTCTCATAATTATCTTGAGCAGCACGCCATCTTTGATGCTCTTTGTCCAAATCATCTTTCAAAGCAGTTATTTGATCCTCCAAATTTGAGATTTGTGTCGTCTTAGCAGAGGTATCTTCTTTCAGACTGGATATTTCAGCTAAAGCAGCAACAACGGCTTCTTCTTTTCCTGCAGTTGCAGAAGCTGCTTCAATTGACTTCAAATTACATTCCCTCTCAAGCTCATCAACATGCTTCCTAAGCGATAATGCTTCCTCTTCCATTGATTTTTTCACTCTATCAGCTTCTACTTTGAGGTTCTCATAGGCCAATTCCATCTGCTTTAATGCTTCTTCATTTGCCTGAGCTATGCTTTTATATTGCAGCATATGATTTTTGTTAACCTGCACCTCCTCTCTGAGTCTTTTAACTTCTTCAGCAGAATCCATGTTGTCAAAAAGCTCAGTAGAAGAGGAAGGACCACCTTCATCAGCTCTTTCAGAAACCTTTTTTTGCAAAGCTTGCAATTTTTCCTCTAAATCAGCAGATCGCGCTTCAGCAACAACTACTCTAGCTTCAGCAGCAGCCACAGAATGTGAAGTGCTAGCCAATTCCTTCCTCATTTCCTCAATTTGTCTCAATGCATTCTTTAGAGCATCTTCTCTCTCAGGTATAAGGTTTCGAACATTATCACGCTGTTCTTGTAATTCTTTCTTAGCTTCAGCCCATTCTTTCTCAATAAGCTTAATATACTCTTCTTGCTTTCTCCTCTCAGCAGCTCTTGCCTCGTCACGAACGTTCTCAGTACTCTGCAATGTATCTAAATGGACCTGCAAACTATGCACCCTTTGTGACAAATTACGTACTTCATCCGAAGCTCTCTTTTCGGCATTTACCAGCATACCCTTTTCATCCTTTAGAATAGACACCTCCAGTTTTAGATTTTGAGAAAGTTCCTCAGCAGCATTCAATGACTCATAACTTTCTCGCAGCTTCTTCTGGTAGTCAACTATCAACTGTGAGAACTCAACATTTCTCGTGATCACATCATTATGCTCCTCTCTCTGGAGCTCAAAATCTTTCATATATCTGTCAAGTTTATCTCGAGCAAACTGTGCTTCCAGAGCTGACTTATCCCGCTCTGACCGAAGAGAAATAATCTCGCTCCGTAATCTTGACGACTCTTCTTCAAGACATTTTACACGCTCAAAAGCCCGTTCTTGTGCTCTCCCTAAAATTTCATGTGAAGAATCAGGCAAAAGCATCACTTCATGCCTCTCAACCTCTGCTACTTTTTCAGATCGAGTATCAGAAGAAACAACTGTATGCTCTTCAAAGAGCTTTCTGTACATCGCCACAGATGCATGAAGTGATTTAATCATCGTACCCTGCTCATCCGCTTTTGCCAGTACTGCATTAACCTGGGAGGTAGCTTTGTCAACATGCTTCTGCAGCTCCTTCTCATACTTTTCCTTCAACTCTGACTCTCTGTTCTCAATCTGGTCAGTAAGGCTCCGAACTAGGCCTCTTAGCTGGACATTTTGTTCAACCAGGCCATTTATGTCCTTGTAGCTCAAGTGCCTTCCAACATCATCAGCATTAGATTCAGCACCAAACATAATTAAAGAATTTGACACCACAGAATTGTCATTTTTAGGTCCCACAGATCCACCACGGAATTGTATATCACAACATTCCTTTAAAAGCACTGTCACCTGTTCTTGGAGGTCAACTATCTCTGCCTGAGCAACAGCATAATCACGGTCACGCCTTCTCATATCAGCATTGAATTCCTGAATATTCCTCTCTAAAGCAGCTTGATGAGAGAGGGAATGCTGCAGCTTTTCATTTAGCACAGAGTAAGCATCTTCCAATCTTTCATGCTCCGCTCGCTCATCCAAGATAACTCCAGCTTTCTCCTCTATTTCACAGAGTACTCGCTCCAGTACATCTTGAGCTTGTTTTCTTCCCAATTGTTCATGTCGTAGTGCATCAACAGTTTCCTGATATTTGGTGTACATCTTAGACAGACTCCAACCCTCCCGAAGAAGTGAAGCGGCTAATGCGGTTCCTGAAACACCAATTGGTAGACTAGGTACGACCATCCGATCATCCTCAACCATGTCACCAGCTTCAACTGAGTTTGGCAATGATTCACTAGAAAAATAACTCAAAGGAAGAAGCTTCAATGTATCTTCTCCTTTTTTTAATTCCGCTTCGCTTTTCGCAAGCTTATTTTTCAAACATGCAACCTCCTCCTTTAGTTCTATCTTTGCAGATACTTCTTTCTCAAGCCTCTCTTTATAGTCATTCTCTATTTGGTTTCCATGAGTCTCCAGAGCTTTAATTACTCCTTCAAGTTCTCCTGCCTTTTTAGACCATTCCTCGGAGCTCTCCTTGTACAACTCCACTAGCTTGTTTAACGTTGCAATTTCACCAGACATTTGGTCCTCTTTTGCAGCTGCTACATCCTTGGTGGATAATAAATCTTGCTCTAGAGAAGTGAACTTCAACTCCATTTCTCTAACTTGTTCCTCTTTTCTCTTCAAACGCCTATCACATTCAATAATTTTTTTCTCAGCATCAACAAGTTTGGCAGACATATCAGCCTCAAGCTCAGAATGAGCTTTACGCAGCTCCATGAGACCATTGACCTTTGTTGTTAACTCGTCATTAAGCCATGCATTATGCCTCTCAACAAGCTCCTTCTCCTGCAAAAGCCGCGAACAAGAAGCCTGACAGCGTGACACTTCAGTCTCCAAGTCACAGACCCGTACTTCCCTATTTGCAGCAATATCAGTCAAGTGAACTATCTTATCAAGATAGCTTTTGATAGTGGAATTTTTCTCACTAATCTCCAAGTCTTTCTGTTCTACCAATTCCATCAATTGCCTCTTTGTTTTCCGGAGTTCTGAAGCCTCTGTTGATAACCGGTCCACATCTCCATCCTTTCCAATCTGTTTTCATGTTCCAAAAGACAATCAAATACAACAGCAAATTAATATACAACAAATAAAAAGAACTTTGGATGCGTTCAGTATAGACAAAATTACTCTACCTTCCCTGGAATGTTTTCATCAATATGTCTTACCCTAGAAATCATGTTCTGGAATAATTTCTAGTATTTGGTAGGGTCTATAAAGTAGGTCCTATGATGATCATCCAGGGTAGGGTAGGTCATATGAAGGAATTAGGAATTGTAAATATACTTACAGATTGGATGAAAGCGTGCTGTTTCTCGGCTTGTGCTTGAGAGAGTTCAGACAGGCGTTCCTCAAAGGAAGAATTAAGTTGAGAGTACTGCAGTTGAAGCACGGAGTACTCAGAAGAAAGCGAGACATACTTCTGTTCAAGAACAGAACAAGTCTGTTCAGCTGTAATAGATGCAGCATCAGCCTGTGCTTTCACATTTTCCAGTTGATTGTACAAATCGCGAATAAACTCATCAGCTTTCACCGCTACCAAACCGGCATCTTGCGAGCACCGCTCGTATTCCTCATCCGATATGAACAACGGCATCGCTCACTTTCCTTCGTTTAACTTCTCATCAATCTATGACATCAAGGCCACCATGTTAATGCCCTAATTCGTTTAAAACATCCATAAACCCTAGAAGAAGATGAAAACTTACCGGAAATGGGAAATGAGTTGTGTAATGCCGGCTAGGGCAAATCAGTTTGTTCTTCGCTTGTTTACTCTTTCATCAATCTGTGAAAAAAATGAAGGTAGTCATGTTAATGCCCTAAAAATATGCCATCGGAAAACCCTAGAAGAGAAACTTACCAGAAAAGGGAACTCCGGCTAGGGCAAATTTGAAACGACGATGAGAGTATTTTTGACTCCTCAAGGAAGCAGCATCTTTTAGTTTTACTATCTCGAGTTCTATTTTATGTGTGCCTTTTCTCTTCTTTTTTTTAAGCTTGTTAAAAATTTCTTATTTTAATAGAAACATAAAATATATTATAATATATAATAATCATAATCGAACCAAACCAATAAAATATATCGATTTTATTTGTGCTGGATTTGTTTTGATTTAGTTTTAGATTTTAAAATCCAATAGTATTTGGTTTGGTTATGGTTTTATTCAAAAAAATCAAAGAAATAACCGAACCGATAAATTATATACATATATTTTATTAATATACATAGTTAACATATAATTTTTATAAACAATTTTAAAGATCTTATATAAAAAAAAATTATAATTTACTTATTGAAAGCAAAAATGTCCAAGGTGAAACATTTATCTTATTGATTTCAGATATATGAGTGTCTATGACAATTTTTTGTGGGACTGAAAATGTTACTATCTCTTCCTTCTGGGCTAAAATAGTGAATTTTAAAGTTTTATTAATAGTAAATTCAGTGATCGAAAGTTAAGTATGTCAATCATTCTAATTATTTTTCGTCTTGAATGATTTGTTGTCACCTTTTTCACATTTTGAATGAATTGTTTCTTTTATTTTTGTGTATGGTTAATAACCGAACCAAACCAAACCGAAATCGATATCCACCAAACCGCTAAATGTATATTATATTTGGTTTAGTTTGATTTTGATAATTTTAAAATCGATTAAGTTGGGTTGGTTTTTATTTTGACCAATAACCGATTCAAGCCGACCCGTGAATACCCATAATCATAATCATAATATCAGAGATTTCAAACCTATTTCTAAAATGCGAGGAGCTGAGATTTCCAATATATAAAGAAATTATAGCATTTTTTTATTTGAAAATATAAGGAATATATTTGGAACTCTATAAATTAAAATAAATTGTAGAGAAATATTTGAAGTGTAAATAAATAAATTAAATTAAAAAATACAAATTCAATAACCTAACTTAAGAAATAGATGTGGATACCAATTTTTTTATTGAATTCAAATTCATAAAATAATTTGATTATATTAAATTCAAGGTATGTTAGTTCAAGTAAATATCTTTATATTCATTTAAGTCCAATAAATATGGATTCAATCAAGTTTTCACGGGCTAATTCATTAATTTGGGTTACAAATGATGAGTCACTTTGTTGGGTTCTAAGTAGTTTTGATGACGAACAAAGTAATATGAAACATGTGAGTCAATCTGATTTACATGTGCACTCTTTCGATGAGTTAAATTCGTAACAAGATCACTTATGACTAAAGATAAGTGTGCTATAATCAAGGATTATTTGATAATTTCTTGATAAACTCAAGTAAACAAACATGTTCTGAGTTGAAGAATTGGAGTTCAACTACAACGCACACGAATCAATGTGTTTGATTTGAATAACGAGTCTTAAGAGACAAGCAGATTGAATTGAAGAAGGAGTGTCACTTGAGTCAAGAAAATTCAAGTTAATGTGGAGTTTAGAGGAAAGGCTCAAAATAGTCCCTCATCTTTGGATTAAAGCTCAAAGTCATCCTTGAGTTTTCACATGGAGCACTAATAGTCCCTCATGTTTGCAATATTGGTACACTTTTGGTCCTCCTCAAAAAATTTGCCTATTTGTTAACATTAACTTTCTTCACAATTTTATGTAAGGAATGTCCAATCGTCTTTTTATATATTTAGTAGAAATAATAACTATATGTGAGAGAAGGTGATAAGAAGAACACATTGTTCTGTTTAGTAGAAATATTACTGCAGCTAACCTAAGAACATCTTAACATATGACGTTGGAAGAAAAGAAAAAAATTTGTACTATTGCATGTGAAATTATCGTGATGAACCTCTCGTCTTTACCTGCAATACAATTTCTACTTAATAAAACAAGACGTTTTTCTTCTCACATTCTCTCATAGGGAGTTATTATTTCTACTAAATATATAAAATGACGATTGAACATATCATACATAAGTTATGGATAAAATCAATGTTAAAAAATAGGCAAAATTTTGGAGGAGGACCAAAAGTGCACCAATATTGCAAACATGATGGACTATTAGTGCTCCATGTGAAACTCAAGGATGATTTTGAGCCTTAACCCAAAGATGAGAGACTATTTTGAGCCTTTCCTCTGGAGTTTAAAGTGAATAACTTTTTGAAGAGTTATGCTTAAATAAAAGCGAAGTTGTTCAATATACTTGTGCATTGAAAAGTTGTACTTAAATAGAAGTGAAGTCGTTCAGAATACTTGTACAGAGCAAAAAGGACAATTGAAAAATCAACTTCGTGAGTGCTACCAGCAAATTAAATGAATACATTAAAGAACCAGGTCCTATTACAACGTTTATTGATTAGGAGTTTTTCATCGAGTTATAATGTTGATGTAATCTTAGTTAAGTGAATTATAAACTGAACTGGAAGTGATGTCTTCAAGTTGGGATAAATTAAAGACTTAGAAACACATGCATTGAGAAGTTTGTGTTGAAGTTTAAGAATTGGGGTTAATTCCTACTTCCTACTATTGCAAGAAATGTAACATAATTTAAAGTTTAAGGATTAGAGTTAGTTCCTAGAATTGCAAGAGTTGTAATCTGAATTCATAACTTGAAATACGTTCGATGATCTGGTTGATTGTCGACGTTTAGAAATTAGAGTTTATAATTCATTAGGTTAAATAGGTTGGTAATATTTTGTTGAAAGGATCATTATAGTTTAGTGAATTTAGGAGTAAATTCTGTAGAGCTACAAATCGTGTTTTTTACACCTTTGTGAGTCATGTTTCCACGTAAAAGTAGTGTGTTCTTTACTTATTGCTCTTACTACTTTGTTGAAACACGTTGGGCGACCTGTTTCACATAGGCAAATAGTTAAGACATTTAACTAAAATATAGGTTGTGTAGAATAACATATTAGCTAAGCCTAGAATGTCATCTTTTTCTATAGGCTCAATTTGTTGTCACATGTTCAATAACATGGCACACTAAGACAAATAAAGGAGTTAATATAATCATGTCATATATCAAAATAACATAGCACGTCAAGTCAAATTCAAAATTGATGAAAATATATCACATGTACGATTGACATATTCCGATCAATTAAATATGATCATGTCACTTCAATCTAATTAGACGGAAGAAACTTGTCTTCCTCACATCTCTTTCCTTTTATGACTATAAACAGGGGTCATCCTAATTTAGAAAAATAAAATAAAAATCTAATAAGAAGCTAAAAAAAGCTTGTGGATCAAACACCACATATTTTAAAACAAATTAAGTTAGTACTTGAAAACGACAAACGTATAAAAATGTAAGCTGGACATAATTTTGCAAGCAAAAAAAGTAAGACTCTCAACGGTTAGATTTGAAAAAAAGGCTTTAATAATTCTTAAATTATTCAAATATTATTTGATTGAATAATTTAAACATTTTTTTTTCATATGTGAGATTTCAAAAACTCTTTTCACTTTTTTTTATAGATTTATAATCTAACATGTTAGAAGTAATTATGATTTAAAACTTCAAGTTAAATAGTTTCAGTTTTATTGAAATATTTTTCTTCTCATATTCTAACAAATATAGTATGTTCTCTATTCAAAAACTATTTTTTCTTAATTTTAAACCAACTCATATTCGAACGCTTAATATTAAATTTCATTCCAACATTTTTGATACTCCCTTCGTCCATCGTTACTTGTTCAATATAAAAAATAATAATTATTCAATTTTATTTGTCTAATTTAAAAAATTAAGAGATAATTTATCATTTTGTGTCTATTTATTTTTCAATATTTATCATTTTCCATACTGTTTGGTACACCCTTCATCCATCTTTACTTGTCTAGTATATAAAAAATAATTATCCAACTTTATTTGTCTAGTTTTAAAAAAATCAAGAGATAATTTATCATTTTGTGTCTATTCATTTTTCAATATTCAAATGACTTATATAATTAAGGAGGGTGATATAGTAAAATTATTTCTTTGTTTATTATTTATTAGGAGGTGTGCAAAGTTAAACATAAACTAGTAAAAATGGACGGAGAAAGTAGCAAAGTTGTTTCTTTCTATGTCATATAAGTCTCCCTCTCTTCTACTAGAAAAAATAAATCTCATCTCAAATCTCAATAGGTTATGTGTTACAACGAATTCATCATTAAATATATACTAAAGTGACACGTAAAACAATATTAACTCCTGTCATTTATATTTCATATATATATGGTGCCAACTGCCAATGGCCAACATGGAATATTATTACACCTATCAAATCTGTTTTCATGTTAATTTTTCTTCATCAAGTCATGAAAATATATATACTTAGTTTCCATTTGATCGTAATTTCTGTATTTGAAATTTAAAAATTTAAAATTTTAAAGTTGTGTTTAGACATCATTTATTTGAATTCCTTTTTTTTTTTGAAATTTTGAAAATAGAAATCTTAATAATTGGTCTGAGTCGGTTCTTGAAAACTTAAAAAAGTTATTTAAAAATATTTTTTTAATATCTACTCACAAAATATATAATTAAATGCTCGTTTGCAAGGGTTTTCCGTTTTGTTTTCTTTCTTTTTATCAAGAAGAGGAAGTTAAATTCCCTTTATGCAATACAAAATATACCATTAAATGTTAGTTTGCATGTTTTCTCGTTTTATTTTTTTTATTTGTCAAGAAAAGAAAGCTAAATATTTTATGTATTTTTATTCTCCTTCGGTATCTCTATATATATTGGAGATTTATAGGCTAATTTTTTTCAATTTACTCTTTGTCAACAAATATATCATGTGCATTAACTTAATCAGTTTTATACCTTTTTAAAGTTTCTTAACTTCATTGAGCAACAAACGCTTGATTAAAAGTGAGGACACAAAATTGAAGATTGAAAAAAAAGAGATAAAAGAAAGAGAAGTATGGAGGAGTAATGGTGAACAAGAGAAAATATTTGCAATTGATTGAAGACCAAAAGAGAGAGAAAGTAATAGCTTAATCAAAGAGTACTCAAGCTCGAAACAAACAAAGTTGCTCAAAATAAATTTCTAATTTTATAACTTGAACTTTTGAAAAATGAGATAGATGTAACGCCCCACATAGTTGTTATGAGTAAATCATTAATGAAATAAATTGGGCCAGAAAAATTTTGAAATAAAAATTGAAAATTTTAGCTTAAGTCAGTCTCAAATAAAATATGAACAAGGTAAAGTTGAGGGTAACGGAAAAAGAGTATATAAATTTTTAAACTTTGATTTTTCTGTTGGTTAAGACATTAATGAGTCCATAGGGCTCTACGAAAATGAATTCATGTGAGTAGAACATCCAATATTTAATTTGATGTGAAGAGGTCGGTTTGACTATATCAAAATTTTAAATGTGTTGCGAAATATTCTATTTTGAAAGAATTTTTGAGGTTATGTCCCGTGCAAATTGCTATATCAACTGACACGTCACAATAGCACGATTTAGAAAAAAAAGTAGTCGCTTGAGGATGCTATAGCGGCCTTAACATGATTGGGGGTGCAATTAAGCCGCTATAGCATGATAAGTCAATATAAATATAGAAACTCCCAAACTCTTCATAATTATCCAAAATTATTTTAGAAAATAGAAAGAACATCTAGAGCAAAATTCAACAGTTTTTCATCAAGAATCTTCATAAAGACGAGCAATCTGATTTCACAGTTTGATTCTTAGTAAACAAGAAAAACATTATATCAAAAGTATTTAAATATTATTTAGCAAAATGTCATGAAGACAAATAAAAATACAGAGTTATGAGCAAAATGTCATGAAGACCGATAGAAATAGGGAGTTGGGGTTGGGGTGACAAACAATGGTAAGAATTAAGTTTGAAAGACGTTCATTTTTATAATAGCTTATTTGTTTCCCATTTTTTTTTACTTCTATTAACGAGTTCATTTTCATAATAACTTATTTTGAAAATTTTGAATTATCCAAATATATCAAAATATATCTCCATATCAAATACGTATATCATTAATTTATGTCCTAATTTTTTTTAATCATATATGTACAATTCAACTAAGCAAATACAAATAAAGAAAAAAAAAATGATTTGGATATTCACAAGCGTAGTAAAGCCCTATGGCAATGACCATACTACCCCGCATCTCAACTCAACGTCATCTTCTCTCCTCCCCTTCTTCTTCTTCTCTTCTTAACCCAAAATCCCTTCTTGTCTTAAAGAATCAATTCTCACATTCTCTCTCTTCTTTCTCTCTCATCTCCACTTCGCTCTTTCTCATTTCCACCATTTTCTTGGCATCTCCAGTTTTTACCTACTGCAAAACCCACTAACATTTCTATATTCACCTTATCCTTCCCAGATTCCTTTTTGTCTTTTTGGTTAAACTATTCTCTTATTTTTTAATCAGAAAATACGTGTTTGCAAGTATGTATAGAGTTCTTGAACAACTTTTCCTTCCAAAAAGAAGCATTTTGGGTGATAATTGATTTTACCGGATCTGCGATTACTTTTTGCATTGTATAATTGATGAAGAGGTAATTGTTGTTAGGAATTTAAGTATGGATTCTGTAATTGGTGGTAAGTATAAGCTGGGTCGGAAGATCGGCAGTGGATCTTTTGGGGAGCTTTATTTAGGTAATCCCAATTTCTATTGCTATTCATGTATAATACTGTGTGTGTTTAGGTTTGTATTTACCTTTATCTGTCATCATCAGGTGTGAATATACAAAGTGGAGAAGAAGTTGCTGTCAAGCTGGTGAGTTTTTTTTTTTTTGATTTAGCTAACAGCTTAAAGATTCTATATGTAATGATGGTGTAAAGTGTGTAAAAGATGATTTTTTAAAAACTAGATAAGGGATATATATCCCCAATCAAGACTCAATTTCGAACTAGCTATATGTTAGAGTTGATTACTGGAAATGGTTAATATATTGGTTCTGACTATTGAGTAAGGCCTAGCTCGAGTGGCAAAAGGTGGAGGATTTGTGACTTAGGTCGCACGTTCAAGCCCCACACCATGCAAAGCGAATCCCGGTATTTAAGTGGAGAAGGGTAAAGGGGCGGGACCATTATCCACCGAGTTTAGAAGGCTGTGATTGGTCCAAAGGGCGGCGGGTCACAAACGGATATCTTGGTTATCAAAATTATAAAAAAAATATTCTTAATTGAAATTAAGCATATGGGTTGGGGAAGCACCTCAATATGATGTATTATCACATCTATTCTTCTATTGTCAATGGTTAAGTTTCTCACAAATGCTTTGCTTGTATATGGTGGTCTATTTGGAAGGAGAGGAACTATAGAGCTTTCGAAGACAAATACAATTACAATAACAACATATCCAGTGTAGTCACACAAAGTGGGGTCTCGGGAGGGTCGAGTGTACGCTCACCTACCCCTTCCTCAGAGGTAGAGAAATTGTTTTTGATAGACCCTCAGCTAAAAAAAAATAGTCCCAAAAAGGAAGTAATGAAAATACAAGAAACAATAACAAAAATAGCAGAACGAAAACTACAACTAAACAATACAATAGTTGAGGCCTAAGTTGCTCGAACTAGGGTGCGGGTGTCCGATATGGGTGCAGATCCAGAGATTGGATCCTCTATGACCTAAATTTTAAGATTCGGGGATACGAATCCATGTCCGAATACAAGTGCAGGGATTTGGCTAAAAATAGAGTTATAAAACCTAAATTATGAGATATTGTGTTTAGAACTCGGGAGAAAATAATGATCAAGAGGAGAATCTTGGATGGAGACAAAAGGAAAAGGAGTGACAATAGAAATTTATATATATACAAGTTTTTCCATTTTCATCAATTTCAATTTATATATAAAAAGAATATATATAAAAGGAATGTTTTGATTTGATTACATAAATCATTAAATTTGTCCAAAATTTCTCCCTCAAATTTGGTCAAAGTATCCAAAACCGGTTGATCAAATCGGGTACGGATCCCACACCCACACCCACGTCGTGTCAACGCGGGTGCGGCACCGAAAGTGAAGAGTACGAGCAACTTAGGTTGAGGCACAAGAAATAACAAGTAGTAATATAAATCGAAGGACAAAAAACTGCAGGAGCAATACTACGACTGCTAATATGGACGAACAACAAGACAGTGCATTGCTACCTACTAACAATCTATCTTAATCTGTGTACTCCACCTACTCCTATCTAAGATCATGTCCTCGATAAGGTGAAACTTTGTCATGTGCTGTCTAATCACTTCTCTCCTATGCTTCTTCGGTCTACCTCTCCTGAAACCATCCAAAGCTAATGTCTCACACCTCCGCATCAGGGCATCCGTGCATCTCCTCCTCACATGCCCAAACCATCTCAGTCTTGCTTCCCGCATTTTGTTCTCCACCGAAGCTATTCTGGCCACCGAAGACAAATACAATTTTGTGCAGACAATCAAGATGAATTGTATTTTTTTTGGTGTAAAGAAAGCTATGCTGAGGAGGCAGAATCACTAGTTGTTATTGGGATCCTTGTGAAGCAGTAGCCTAAGCTTGATTGGGTTTTGTAAACTCTCTTTGCACTTTTATGGTGCAACTTTTTTAAATACTATCTGTGTATATTTATAGTCATCACCAGTCTCCATAAAAGTTTCTCACAAATGCTTTCTGTTACAACTTTTGTAGTTGTTTGTTTCAAATACTATGTTTAGTTATGGGGTTTGATTCTTTGATGTGGGCTTTACTATTTCCAGAATCTAATTTATTGCTTCCCAGGAATCAGTTAAGACGAAGCACCCTCAGCTTCATTATGAATCAAAGCTGTATATGCTTCTACAAGGAGGAAGTGAGTAATTGCTTATGCCATTTCACTTTTCATTACTGGTGATTCTTTTTCTTTTTCTTAACTTAAACTGATATGGCTTGGTATTACTTATTTTTTTAACTTTTAAGCGGGAATTCCCCACCTCAAATGGTTTGGAGTTGAAGGTGAATACAGTGCCATGGTTATTGATCTTCTTGGGCCAAGTTTGGAAGACTTGTTTAACTATTGCAATAGGAAGTTCACATTGAAAACAGTCCTAATGCTGGCAGATCAGTTGGTCAGTAGTATAAATTAATCACTTGTATGATTGTTGTGGCTGGCTTGTCTAAGGATCATTATAATTTATATGCAGATTAATAGGGTTGAATATATGCATTCAAGAGGATTTCTTCACCGTGATATTAAGCCTGATAACTTCTTAATGGGTTTAGGGCGTAAAGCTAATCAGGTATGCTACTTACCAAAAAAAAAAGCTAATCAAGTATGCTCTTTATGATGTTCTTTGTTACTATGTGAGTATGTCCATGTTTACCCGCCAAGGATTTAGACAAGTTGGTAATCTTAGGTTTAGGGAATTTTATTCTAAGAGTCTGTACAGGTTTCTTCAGCATCAGTGGAGCTAATATATTTACTTATAAAAAATAGTGGAGTTAAACATATTTTGCTTTGTGTTTCACTTAAACTGGGAATTTTTAATTTGGGATGGAGGAGCAACATTTTTGCTACTCTCTTACGTTTGACACAATTTTTGTGATCATCTGTTGAAAATTTACATTCTTTTGTTTGAAGTTGCATTATGAGTATGTGCTTGTCGACAGAACTAATGATGACTTCTGTGGCATTTTAATAGCAATCTTGCGTTTTCTTCTTTTTTCTTCAATGTTTATGTTATTATCCTTTAATTTTTACTGAGGCTAATCTTTTGAGCCCTTTGAAACTTTACTGATTGCTTAAAACTTAAAAGTGTATAGCTGAACTTCTCTTTCCCTCTTATTCTTTTTCTGTATCCATTCCTTTTAGAGCATAAGTGAACGTATCCTATGATATAAATCCTGTGTATCTTAACGAGTGTTTGTTTTTCATTTTTCTCATCGTGCTATAACAGGTATATGCCATTGACTATGGTCTTGCCAAGAAGTATAGAGATCTTCATACACATAAGCACATACCCTACAGGTATAATATATGCTTTTTTTTCTTAAAGAATTGATATGCAACTAAAGTGGATTTTTTCCTTCTACAATGATTAGGTCTTTGGACAATAAAACAAACGTTTTTGGTATTGAAAATGATTACCTGATAACAAAGAGACATGCTTTGAATCTTTTTTTGTAGTCTATTTTTTCTGCTACTTCATTTTTGGACCTGTTGGAGAGTAGAGAACATTTGATTTTATAATCCTGCTTCAGTATTCGGTATATTTCATTTGGAGAGTTCCATGGGAATAACATATCTGCTCGGGGGATATTTAAAAACGTGTTTGGTAAACTCTGTATGAAGCGTTTGTCTTTTATAAGTTAATGGAGGAATGGATAACATTCTATTTATAGGTGAAAATCTATATTTAGCAAGGAATGGAGGACCTACTTGTTGATTTTTAGACCAACTATTAGCTTCTCAAATATTGACTTTTTTTAAAGGCCAAGATGAAATTTAGCATCACTTGTGTAGCCAGGATTCCTATACTACTAAATTATGTTAAGAAATGAAGATTGAGCTTAACTCATCCCCAAAAGCTAGCTCACGAGGGAGGATTACCCAAGATCATATAATGGAGACCAATTATCTATCCTTTTACTGATGTGAGACTTCTAACACTCCCCTGCACAACTAGACATAGTTAACTGAAGTGTGGACAATATAATAAGGATGCCCAACATCGGTGAACATAGAATTGAGATGGACCTAACTTTGATACCATGTGGAGAGTATTACACATCACGGGTACGACTCAATTTGTTGTAATTGGTACACCTTGACCGAGGTTTCCCAAAGCGACCTCCATGTCGATTTCCAGTCTGAAATGTAGTCTGATGCTAGAACAAATGAGTCTGCAGGTGTGATGAGATGCCTATATGACATAAGTGGTGCATTGAGTCATAGTAATCGAGACAAGTCATCCAAATAGGAACAATGGGGCTAGCCAAAATTTGATCTCGCACTAAGTCAAGATCATATGGAAGATTAGAATGAATTGTCTGTCTTTTGTATTTTTGGTGTAAACAAGATGTGTGGTGAGGGATATAGAACTTTTTGTTGATTTCATAGGTAATTTGTGATCTCCCACATGGCAGTTTTGACATGCTCTGAGGAGATTGTAGGTGATCTATGCTCATCATTAGTTTGATGATGAGTCTATTCTGAATATACAATCATCTTTATCTCAAAAAAAAAGATTCAGATGGAAGTCCAATAAGTGTAACAATTAAAAACAGCTTCGTGCGTTGCTCCAATTGTCTTTCAACACTTAAAGTAGTGGCCATCAACTCATTAAATTCTTTCATCACCGCCTGAACCTGTCCAAGATAGGTAGACATATCCGAATCCTGCCTTTTAAGGTTGGTCAGCTGAGAAATACCATTATAAAATCAGAGATGTCATTTGTGTATAGCCCACGAGCCTTTTCCAAACTAAGAAGCAAGTTTGGATTTTGGAATGGTTGGAAAACATCAACTTCATATTATAGATTTCCATAGTTGACTACACAGTTGAGTATCAATCTTCTCCTATCCCTATCTTTTCCATCAAGATCCTTAGCCTGTTTGACCAAGTGGTCCTGAATGCCTTGTCCCTTGCACCAAAACTGAACAGAGGAAGACCAAGATAAGTAGTTTGCACTACCTATCAAGGGTTCAATGGCGGGATTGCTGGAAACCATAGCTTTAGAACTAAGATATCTGAACTGAGGGACACAATGTAGATGTTACTGGAATCTGGAAGCAAACAGCTGCTGGAATCTAGAAAAACAGGTTGGAAGTAAATATGGTGAGGATAATAAGTGGATAACGAAGGAAGTAAAATCCCCCTATGGAGTGAGGTTATGGAGATCCATAAGAATACTTTGGCCTCTGATGAGGGCTCACACTTCTATGAGGGTAGTTAATGGCTACACAACATCTTTCTTAGAGGATAAATAGCTTGCTAATTCTTGTTTGAAAGATCTCTTCCCAAACATCTATGGCCAGGATCTAAAGCAAGAGAAAACAGTAGGAGGAGCATGATCAACACAGGGATGGAACTTCTAGTTCAGAAGAAACCTAAATGATTGGGAAGTGGATACATTAGTTGAGTTGTTCAGAACCCTGGTAGAATTCAAAGGCACAAAGGAAGCCCCTGATAGACTTTGGTGGAATTAGGCTGTAGAGGATGCTTCAGAGTTAGTTCAGCTTATATAAGCTTCTCAATAGAGACCTTCAATAGATGGACAATTGGCCTTGGAACTTGGGAAGAACATATGGAAAGTTAAAATACCCTTTAGAGTAGCATGTTTCAACTGGTTGTTAGCCCGGGAAGTGGTGTTGACACATGACAATCTTAGCAAGAGAAATGTTAACCTATGCTCAAAGTGCTACATGTGTGGTGAAGAAACTGAGACAATCAGCCATCTATTCCTAAAGGGCGACCCTGCTGAGATCTATTCGGACAACCAAGAAAATAGTAAAAAAAAACGAGTTCAGAATTTCTCTCATTGTCACTGGCTTTAACCAAACTCCGATACCATGTTAAGAAATGAATATTGGTCCTAACTCATCCAAAAGCTAGTCCATGAGGAAGGATTACCCAAAATCATTTAAGGAAGACCCATTATCCATCCCTCTACTGATGTGGGACTTCTAACAAATTAAAAATAGAGAATTCTTTCCTTTTGTGAGCCTTAAAGAAAATTCTTCGCGAGATTTTCCGTTATCACTGATGGAGGAAGAGTGTATGGATCATTTAAAGTTCTGAGCAATAATAATCTTTAAATAATCCCAAAGCACTGAACAAGCTTTGTCAGCACTTGAGGGGTTATTCGGTTACAAGGATAAATGATACTAATCCCTCAATAAAATGTAGGATTATGTTATCTCACGTTTGGTTGAGTTTTTTGTTCCGGTATAAGCAATATGGGGATGTTTATACCACAATTGTGGCATTATTTGATACCACACTCTATGTTGGATAACAATTCCAGCATTAGTGCATTACTAGTCTTGAGATAAAACAACAAAAAAACACATTTGCACTTGTCCAATGCTTATCACGTGTTTGCACTTTCTGGTTTATTTTGGGTCAAACACCTATTAACCTTATAAGCCAATTGTCTTTAAGCCAAAATCCATAAGTTGGGATTGACCAACTTATATATTTTTTTAGCTCGAGGCTATTTGGATATGACCAAGTAATTTACATTGTTGCCCCTTTACACTTAAAATTTTCCAAAATATCCTTTCGTACAAAGAGCTATAACTCTAAGGGCTCGTTTCGTAGGGGATAAGGGACAGCTAACCCTGGAATTAATTTTAGGATGAGTTTATCCCATGATTGATTGGGATAAAGTCGCGGGATAACTCATCCTGGGATTGTAAGTGTTAGTTTTATCCCACATTGAGGGTGGGATAACAATCCTGGGATAAGGATAAATTGTTCCCAACCAAACGAGTCGTAATGTCTTTGTTTGTTCCTTTATTCTTTCCTCCACCTTACCTCTGCCATTTCCCACTTTGGACCAATTGTGGGAAAAAAAGAGTATTCTATGGTTTGCAAAGTTTGATTTTTGTTTTCGTATCTTGAAGTGATGTGGATTATTGTTTTATTAGCTATCCTTTATCTTCATTCTTTAAGTTAAAAGGAACTTCTTTTCTTTTCGTAGTGTGGTGCTTTGGGTTGGCAAGATGGAAGCTTTTAAGATGAATATTAGGATAATATAAAATCTAATTATTGTATGTTATTTAATAAATGATTTTTATTTATTAAAATAGTATTATCAATCAATGTAGAATTCAAAACGGAATCAGACATAAATTAATTTATATGTGAATCAGCTTAGAATTAAAAATCTTATAGCAATCTACTCCTTTATATACTTAATATGATTAAGGTTATCTCAGTCATTTTAACAGGAAAAACACTTTTTAACCTCACACATTAACATCTCATTTTCAGTTTTAATACTTCTATCCAAACACACAAGTGCATATTTATAAAATCAACTCCAGCACTCAAAATATTTTTTCGACACTTGGTACTTAAAAGGCACTTAAGTCCAGCTAAGCCAAATGGACTCTTTTAGGAAAATGAAGGTTAAACTTGAAAATAAAAGTTTATCCAAGTTGATCTTGTGTAAAATCATGGTTTACATTAACCCTGTATATCCCATTCTTTGTCCGAATAGCCAAACATTCTATCAATAAAAGTACACCCACTAAATAATTGTATCATTATTTAATTCCCATATTATAATCCCCACATGATAATCCGGTATAACTTGTTCACAAACCAAATGACCCCTAAAAGCATCTGTCGCTTATACAAAATGGTGCTATTTTGTTATCATGTCCTTATCATTATTTAATTCCCATATTATAATCCCCACATTATAATTCCAGTATAACTTGTTCACAAACCAAATGACCCCTAAAAGCATCTTTCACTTGTACAAAAATGGTGCTATTTTGTTATCATGTCCTTATAAATTATCAGTTGTGGCATACTGGCATGGCATCCCTTTTGTTAGGGTAATACTTGGATGAAAAGAGTCAAAGGTGGTTCTGAGTCTAAGTGCTAGAAATGAGAGGTGGCATTAAACTCGCATTCTAAGACTTCTCACTGTAGACATACTATTTATATATTGCCTCAATTTTATCTGGGGCTACTGAATGAAGCTTCTTGAGGTTTATTTTCATCCTTTCTAAGTAGTAGTAGGGATGGGCATAACTGAACTGGTTGATGTTGTTTAAGAGGTGATTGGTGGCTGTTAATATGTGTGTGTATCTTATGTATCACATGTATTAGTGTAGCAGCTATAAATCTTGTCAAAGAGAGTGAATTCTGAAAAAATGATTTAGCTGTAACTTTTTGATAAGATAAGTGGTATTAATAACAGCATCAGGAAGATGCATAATTTACAAGATATGGCATTTGAGCTTACAAAAAAATCTCTAGCTAACTATACAAACTATCTAAGCCAGAGCTAATGAGTTAGTAAAATCCTGAAGTTGTTCTGCATTAACAGCAGGATACAAGTTGGTCCAACTAAACAAATTTTCAGTGCACCTAGTCTTCAAAATGCCTAAAGCAGTTGACTCTCCATCAAAACATCTCTTGTTCCTCTCTAACCAAATACACCAAAAAATACAAGCAGGTATCATAATCCAGATCTTCTTGATGGCTTTGTCAACTTTCCATAGACTCCAATTCTCATATGCATCCTTAACAGTGAGGGGTGTGGTCCAATTGATGCCAGAGAGACAAAAAAAAATATGTTCCATAATTCTGAGGCCACCTCACAATGAAGAAGAAGGTGTCTGGGGTTTCAACCTCTTTTTTTGCACATATAGCATCTGTTTGGGAATTGGATTTTTCTTTTCTTTATGTTGTCTTGGGTGAGACATGCCTCATATAGAGCTATCCAGGTAAAAAAAACTACCTTAGGTGGTAGCTTGGTCCTCCAAATGAGTTTCCAGGGCCAGTTAGCTATCACGGGGTTTCTAGAGCACAACTGTTGATACCCTTCCTTAACTGTGTAAACTCCTTTCTGGTGTCCCCATTTGAGCTTATCAGCTGCCTGGAGATTAATGTGACAATGTTGTAGTCTAGCAAAAAGGTCTACCAGATCATTCACTTCCCAATTGTGCAAGCTGCAAGGCTTTTTCCAAATGTTAGCACTCCAAAGAGTGCATTGACTTTTCTAAAGTAGGTGCCAGGCTGAGAATGAGAGGCATTTGAAATAATTTCTTGTGCAAACAATATTTATCACTTCCCCCTTGTTGATACTGGACAGATCTTAAAACCTTGCTGCAAGTTGTGTCCTATACGAATGCTGTTGAAAATTTGTTCCCGAGAAGCTTCTTACCTTGAAATTAATTTCTCAGTGGATCCTTTGGTACCATTAATGTTGCTGAGATGGTACTCACAGAAGTCACATAGGACAAGGCATGGACATCTAAACAGAGATGCGCTTTTAGTGATAAACGATTAATATACAGTCACTGCATTCTATTGGAGAAAAATTTACTTGGTAACATATCATTTTTCGGGCAATCTTGTGTCATGCATCAGCTGATGAAACAAGAAAATGTTCAGACACAATCAACCATTCCAGAGTACAAGAAGAGTAGTCTTATGTATGAGACATAAATATTATCTCTTTTGTGCATAGTCATTTAAGAAACAAAAAATTGCTCCAAAAATCCCATTTTGCAGAAACTAGATTGGATCATTACATATGGACTATGGAGTTTATGTTCCTAAGAAATGAAAAATAGTGAAGTACTCCTCTTCCTGCTTGGAGGCTGCTCATAACTCCTTTTTTCTTTTTGGCATTTTTTGTTACATAAAGTTTCGATCTTAAACGGTGGATATCCCATTAAATGAAGTTGGAACTTTTAAACTTTGACATTTCTTCCCTATGATACTTTTCTTTCTTAGATCTTGTCTTTTCCCCTTTAGATGGGGATTGGTTGGATGACTGCGGTTAGTTATGATTGGTTGAATGAACTATGTCTTTCATATTCAGGGAAAACAAAAATCTCACAGGCACAGCTCGTTATGCAAGTGTTAACACCCATCTTGGAGTTGGTAAGTACAGATGAAATTATTTTCAGCATCTATTCATATTTTCTTGGTTTGTATTTAGTTTGACTTCCTTTCTATTGCTTGAATGTAGAACAAAGCAGAAGAGATGATCTAGAGTCTCTTGGCTACGTGCTTATGTATTTTCTGAGGGGAAGGTTGAGACATAGAGTTTTAGTTGATTCTTGGTTCCTTTCCTTTTTTTCTCGATATGAATTACTTCTCTTCTGCGCCTAAGCATTTGCTGCCCATACCAGTCTTCCATGGCAAGGTCTGAGAGCTGGCACCAAAAAGCAGAAATATGACAAAATCAGCGAGAAGAAGATGCTTACACCGATAGAGGTACATTAATTTGTTATTGTACATTATGTTGTTCATGAGAAATTCTTTATATGAGATCTTGAAAGTCTGATTTAGAGGAAAGTGCTACGGCCCTAAATTTGCACTGTTCAATGGGTTTCTATTGACTAGTAACAGGTACTTTGCAAATCCTATCAATCAGAATTCACATCATATTTTCATTACTGCCGATCTTTGCGGTTTGATGACAAACCAGATTACTCGTACCTGAAGAGGCTTTTCCGTGACCTTTTCATTAGAGAAGGTACACTTTCTATGTGGTGATGCTAGTCGTTTCAGTCATCTATTCTTCTAGATTGCTACCTCTATGTCCTTTCTAGTAAATATTAATTTTTATCACCTTTAAAAGTTGGTGTACTTGTGGCAGGTTATCAATTTGACTTTGTGTTTGACTGGACGACATTGAAGTATCCACAAATTAGCTCCACTTCAAGAGGACGGGTCTGTCTTTTTAATCTGCTGACTTGATTTCGGCCTCCCTAAGAGGCAATTTTCTAACATTTGATGTCTTTTTCCAGCAACCAATTGGGAGATTGCCTTTGAACCCAGGACCATCTATTGAAAGAGCGGAGAAGCCCCCAGGTATTCCTCTTCCCTAGAGGGACAGAGCTTTGAGTTGCAAGCAGCTTGAGCTGCTTATATATGATATTCATTCAACTTTGGGGTCTTGGTGTTTTTCCTTCATCTCCAGTCTAATTTAAGCTTTTTCGCGAAATAAGCCATAACTGGTTGCAGCACTACAATGTCAATTTAATAATTAGTGGTTCTCCGGGGCTTGCTTGATACCACAGGCAAACTTGCATGTGCGTGCAGAGAGGGAAAGAGTGGGGTGCATTGCTCAAGCATGCACATTTGCTATAACTCGGAGCATTTATTCCTTTATCTTGGAGGATGAATGGTCTGTCCCATGCTCACATGCATAGATTCCTATAGATAAGCACAATGGGTTTGTTCCAGCGTCTATTAGCTTGATGAAATCCATCAAAGAAAATTTTGTTCATTTATGGTTTTGTAAAGTTGAAAAGTAGGTGCTACCTCAGCAAAACTGGGACATAATTTGATTTGATATACCTTAACCGAAGATAGGCTCGTTATATATTGCGTGATAAATCAAATTCCTTTCATTGAATATCTCACTAAGATAATGTCACCTTTAAATATCAATTTCCCCAAAAAATATCCAATCCAACTATTAACACAAACTGGAATATTTTCATTAGATAAAATACAAATGAATAAGTTTACTGTTACTTTCCATGCAGATTTTGTCCTGTCCTCCAGACATTCTATATTTTCTGTCTCATCAAGTTGTCTGAGCCGTTTAAAGAGCATTTGCCTTCTGGATCTTCTTCCTTTTGGCATCCAGCTTTTCCAACCTCCAGAACCATATCATCCACCACACTGTTTTAGTGGTACCTAGGTTATATTAAACAAAGAGTATTCTAAGGCCTGTAGATTTACTGCAAAATTGCAGTGTAGTAATCACTAATGCCTGATAGCTTTCTCAAAAAAAGAAGAAGTGATAGACACCCAACACCAATTCGTTATGTTACATCTCCTTCTCAATTTGCCTGCTATAACGATTATATCTCACATTGCATCAGGTAAAGAAAGTTCTTAATTGTCTTAGTCGTATAGATTTTCTTTAAGGCCTTTTGATTATATCCATTGAGCAAGCGATTGTAGTATGATTTACCCGTCAAAAGTATTTGCTTCTTATCCATTTCGGTATAATTCTCATCTTTCCCGTTTGTATGTGGTTATATATTGTGAGAAATATAGGAAAAGAATATTATTGAATTGTTGTTATAATAATTACATAGAGAACCCTATTTATAGACACTATATAATACAATTCCTTACCAAATAGGAGACTATAAACTATTCCTAGTTTGTGTAGGATTGTGTTTTCCTATTCTATTCTAACACTCCCCCTCAAGCTGGTGCATACAAATTATATGTACCTAGCTTGTTACAAATGTAATTAATACGAGGACCGGTAAGAGACTTGGTGAAGATATCTGCAAGTTGATCATTTGACTTCACAAATTTGGTAACAATATCTCCTAAGAGTATCTTTTCTCTTACAAAGTGACAATCAATCTCAATGTGCTTAGTCCTCTCATGAAACACTGGATTTGATGCGATATGAAGGGCCGCTTGATTATCACACACAAGTTCCATATGATCGGTTTCTCCAAACTTCAGTTCTCCAAGCAACTGTTTGATCCAAACTAGCTCACAAGTTGCTACAGCCATTGCTCGATATTCTGCTTCTGCACTGGATCGAGCAACCACACTTTGTTTCTTACTCTTCCATGAAACCAAATTACCTCCAACTAAGACACAATATCCGGATGTAGAACGTCTATCAAAGGGTGATCCTGCCCAATCAGCGTCTGTATATCCGGTGATATGCTCATGGCCTTGATCCTCGAAGAGTAGTCCTTTACCAGGAGCTGACTTTATATATCGCAGAATACGAACAACTGCATCCCAATGACTATCACAAGGAGAAGTCATAAACTGACTTACAACACTCACAGGAAAAGAGATGTCCGGTCTAGTCACAGTGAGGTAATTCAACTTTCCAACCAACCGTCTATACCTTTCAGGATTACTAAGTTGCTCCCCCTGTCCTGGAAGGAGTTTAACATTCGGATCCATAGGAGTGTCAATGGGTTTACATCCCATCATTCCTGTCTCCTCAAGAATGTCTAAAGCATACTTGCGTTGAGAAATAACAATACTTGATCTAGACTGAGCAACCTCAATACCAAGAAAATACTTCAATCTGCCAAGGTCTTTAGTTTGGAAATGCTGAAAGAGATACTGCTTCAAATTAGCGATACCAACTTGATCATTGCCGGTGATAACGATATCATCAACGTAAACAACCAAATAAATACACAGATTTGGTGTTGAATGCCGATAAAACACAGAGTGATCAGCGCCACTACGAGTCATGCCAAACTTCTGAATTACTGTGCTGAACTTTCCAAACCAAGCTCGAGGAGACTGTTTTAGACCATATAGTGACCGACGCAATCGACATACAAGGCTTCTAGACTCCCCCTGAGCAACAAAACCAGGTGGTTGCTCCATATAGACTTCTTCCTCAAGATCACCATGCAGAAAAGCATTCTTAATGTCCAACTGATGAAGAGGCCAATGACGAACGGCCGCCATAGATAGAAAAAGACGGACTGATGCTATTTTGGCCACAGGAGCGAAAGTGTCACTATAATCTAGCCCAAATATCTGAGTATACCCTTTAGCAACAAGGCGAGCCTTAAGCCGATCGACTTGACCATCTGGACCAATTTTGATCGCATAAACCCAACGACAACCAACAGTAGACTTACCAGTAGGAAGGGAAACAAGCTCCCAAGTACCACTCGAATGTAAAGCAGACATCTCATCAATCATAGCCTGCCTCCATCCAGAATGGGAAAGTGCTTCTCCTGTAGTCTTAGGGATGGAAATAGAGGACAAAGATGATACAAAGGCATAATGGGGTGAAGATAAACGATGATAACTCAAGAAAGTATAATGGGGATTAGTATTTCGAGTAGATCGTATACCTTTTTGAAGTGCAATCGATTGGCTAGCAGGGGGCAAGGCCACAGTAGGAGCAGGGTCCGGCGCATGACATGAATCATTTGAGACTATTGCTGGACGAGGACGTCGATGATAAGTTAGGAGTGGTGGCACTATAACTGGAGATGGAGAAGATACCGTAGGTCCCTCAAAAGTCGGTACAGGTAAGACCTGAGGTATGGGTAAGACCTCAGAGATATCAAGATGATCAGAAGATGTGTAGTAAGGTTGAGATTCAAAGAATGTTACATTGGCAGACATAAAATATCGGCGGAGATCATGTGAATAGCAACGATACCCTTTTTGAACTCGAGAGTAACCAAGAAAGACACATTTAAGAGCACGAGGGGCTAATTTATCTTTTCCTGGGGCTAAGTTATGAACAAAGCATGTGCTCCCAAATACACGAGGAGGGATAGAATAGAGATGTGACTGTGGATATAGTATGGAATGTGGAACCTGATTCGAAATAGAAGATGAGGGCATTCTATTAATTAAATAGCAAGATGAAAGGACTGCATCACCCCAAAAACGCAACGGAACATGGGATTCAATGAGGAGAGTGCGAGCAGTCTCAATGAGATGCCTATTCTTTCTTTCCGCTACACCATTTTGTTGAGGAGTGTATGGACAAGATGTTTGGTGAATAATTCCATGGTGAGACATAAACTCCTGAAACTGGGATGATAAGTATTCTAAGGCATTATCACTACGAAAAGTACGAATAGAAACACCAAACTGATTTTTTATTTCAGCAAAGAAACTTTTGAATATAGAAAATAACTCAGAACGATCTTTCATTAAGAAAACCCAAGTACATCTCGAATAATCATCAATGAAACTAACAAAATAACGAAATCCTAAGGTGGAACTGACTCTACTAGGACCCCAAACATCAGAATGAACTAATGAAAAAATAGACTCTGAACGACCCTCAGTACCACGTGAAAATGTGGCACGAGTGTGTTTCCCAAGTTGACACGACTCACAATCTAATTTGGACAAACTAGATAAACTAGGCACCATCTGTTGCAGTTTAGATAGACTCGGATGAGGTCCGGAGGATCTGTAACAGAGCATGCTGTGAAGGAATTTGAAGAGGTAAGATAGTAAAGGCCTTGTGATTCATGTCCTGTGCCAATCGTCTGTCCCGTACTGCGGTCCTGCATGAGAAAAAAATCATCAAAAAAGGTTATGCCACAATGTAGGGCACGTGTCAAACGACTAACAGATGCTAGATTAAAGGGGGAACCAGGGACATAAAGAACAGAGTCTAGAGTGACAGAAGATAAGGGTGTGGCTTTTCCAACCCCTTTTGGTTTTGTTTGTATCCCATTGGCCAAAGTAATAGCAGGAAGAGATTGTGAATAAACAATATCTGACAGAAGTGATTTGTTACCAGAAACATGATCAGAAGCGCCCGAGTCCATGACCCATGATCCATGAGTATTAGACTGTGAAACACAAGCAAAAGAATTACCCGCAACAACATCATGTTGAACAACCGAAGCTGCTTGTGGAGACTTTTGCTTACTTGCTCGATATTGAAGGAACTCATCATATTCTGATTGAGCAATATGAGCATTATGGGATGGTCGATCAGGCGGAGCAACAAATGCTTCTTGTGAAGATGTATGCTTACTTGCACGATTACGAAGGAACTCATTATATTCCTTTAGAGTAGCAGGATCATAACTGGGTGGTGGACCATGCAAATTATGACATATGTCACGAGTGTGTCCAGACTTATGACAATAACTACACTTGGATCGAGGTTTTCCAAGACGACCTCCTCCTCGTCGATTCTCCATAGATTGATATACTCGTTTTTCTATAGTTTGAGATGCGAGAGCAGAGGAATCAAAGGTCGGTGATGAAACTACTTTGTGGCTGGGAGGCGCAGCAATACGAAGTAGACGAGAGAATAATTCATCAACTGTAGGAATTGTAGGACTAGCTAAAATCTGATCACGCACTGAATCATGGTCAGTAGAGAGTCCAGCAAGTGTAAGAACTAGAAACAACGTCTGTCTATGTTCTTGTTGTTTGTCCACATTTTTAGTGATTGGCATCAACGTGTCAAATTCCTCCATGACTGATTGTACCTGACCCAAGTAAGTAGACATATCGGATTCTTGTTTCTTTAAGCTAGTCATTCTAGATATCACATCATAGAATCGAGATATATCATTAGTATATAAAGCACGAGCCTTTTCCCAAACTGAATAACATGTTTGGGATGAGCGAAACAAGGGCATCAACTTGGAATCGATAGATCGCCATAGGAGACTACATAATTGAGCATCAACCTTCTCCCATTGTGCTTTGACGTTATTATCCGTCTCACTAGCCTTTGCCTTTTCATCTACCACACAAGTATTGTTGGTTAAGTGATCATGAACGCCTTGCCCCTTGCACCATAACTCAACCGAGGAAGCCCAAGCTAAATAGTTTGAGCTTCCCATTAATGGTTCTGAAGTGATCATAGCACTTGAACTACCTATATTCTTGGAGCCAAAAATATCAATCCCTAAAGACATATTATGAATTTAGAGAGAGGAAAAAAAAAAAAAAAAAAAAAATAAGGCTGGTCCTGGTCAGAATCTGGAAAAAAAAAAAGGTGCAGTCGCCGGAAATAGGTCTGACTGCCCGAAACTGGTCGGAATAAGAAAATAAATATACAGTCTGCCTCGGAATGGAGAGGCGACCGCAATGGAAAAAAAAAATTGGTCGAAAAACTGGCCGGAACAGGTCTCACGCGCCGGCGCGTGGATCTGTCAACTCGCCGGAGAAATTCTTCCGGCGGCGCGTGACGGCGCGTGTAGCACTGGTTTCCGGCGGGGATGATTGGGGTTTGCTCGCCGGGAAGTTCCTCAACTAGTGGTGGTGTTAGTTTTTGAAAAACAGTGACGGAAAATATTAAATACCTGGACAGCCACTAGGTTACCGGAAAAAAAAAAAAAAAAAAAAAAAAAAAAAAAAACTGTGTGATTTTTTTTTCTCTCACAATTGCTCTGATACCATGTGAGAAATATAGGAAAAGAATATTATTGAATTGTTGTTATAATAATTACATAGAGAACCCTATTTATAGACACTATATAATACAATTCCTTACCAAATAGGAGACTATAAACTATTCCTAGTTTGTGTAGGATTGTGTTTTCCTATTCTATTCTAACATATATCTTGTGAAGGAAGTCGCCTGCTTTGCCCCATTTGGGTCATGAATAAGCCTGAGCCTCTTGAAAAAAGAAATTTCATGTAACACTCGTCCTCCTTTTCTCCTAAACATTTCCATTATTGTGCTATGTTTGTCAACTTCTAAAGATTATACTTTGGAGATTCTTCTTTTTGTTCATGTCTCCTCACTATATGTCTAGCCAAAATCGTATCCTATTACCATTGTCAAGTTTCAACATGAAACCTATGTATTCTAACAACTTGTATTCATGACATCAATATTTTTGAGAGAAGTACCTTACTCTATGGTGACCTCCTTATTTGCTAATCCCTATAATTGTTAATCGAGAGTTTGGTTGAATGTGGTAAATCTTCCAATGCCAATGGCCAAAAGCTCCCACTCCCATTGGATTCATCACTCCCACCCTATCAAGCGATATCTCTTATCCCTTGTCCTACCGTGGTAGAAGTTCCTTGCTAGTTTCTCTAGCTTCTTACCAATTGATGATGGGATATGAAAGAAATATATAAAGAATGCCAGTGTGTTTGATATTGTCAATTTTATAAGTGTAACGTAAACTAGTTTTGATAGGTACTTTCTTCCATCCTTTCTGTCTTTTTTTCAACTTTCTCAATTATCTAGACTATCTGGTGGGCTTGATTCTGCACTTAAATTATCTTTGTAAAAGTTGAGCGTACAAAACATAATAGGAATAAACAAACCATTTGAGGGATGCTAAATAGTTGGGATTAAGACGTAGTTGTGTTGGTATATTTACATTATTTACATAATAGAAATAAACGATCACATGTGTGGGTCATAGAAGATCAGAGTATCATCCGCGAAGAGGAGATGTGATAAAGAAACCTCTTGCATATCTTTGTAAAAAAACATGGATCTCATTATATTTTCCTTTATCCAAAGCAGAATCAACTGGGGTAGCAATTACCCTGTTCCAGCAGATTACTGAGAATTTTCATAAAAAATAATAGGGAGATGAGTGCACAATAGGATGTCTACCTCCTTTCCATTCAAAGAAATCACAAAGTGTTCTGTTCACCATTATGGAACATCTCACTACAAAAATGTATTAATAGATACAGTTTCCATCTTTCCCAGGATGCTAGAAGCTGCAAAAACAAGAATTTGATAACATACTTACTAGCTTTCTTCACAACTAGCTTGCATAATGTCTCCGGTTTTCTGCTCCTTAGTCTCGACTTGACAATCTCATTAGTCATAAGGACAACATCCCTGATGACTGCTTCCCTATTCCACAAACTTTTTGACTGGAGGATATGAGATTGCCCATCAATGGTTTCAATCTCCTACTCAATAGGCCAATACGCCACCAATGACTTCAATCTTGAGGAAGCCTAATCTCTTTATGAGCTATATCCATATTTATAAATTGGTTAACTGCTAAAGGATCGTGTTAGATAGCAGAGTTCATAAGTTGTATTGGTTAACCATTGTACCTGACTTTTATCAAAAAAATAAAACCATTGTACCTCTGACTGACCACATCATCCATAAACTACAAATTGATATGGGCTGTATTGCTACTTGTTGAAGTGTATGACTATCTCATCTAAAATCTTAAGCTATTAGGGAGAGCATAGTTTTATTATTTAATTATATCCTCAACACAACTCCTTACGTGTGGGCTTGATTTTATTTTTTTCATAAGCCAAGCACGTGAAATTCTTTTTGATATGGGTGGCGGTGAGATTCGATCTCAGGACCTCTGCCTGCTCTGATACCATGTTGAAGTGTGTGACTATCTCATCTAAAAGTTTAAGCTATTCAAGAGAGCATACTTTTATTATTTAATTATATCCTCAACACAACTGACTAAATAAGCGAGTGGTTTTTCCTTTTCCCCCTTTTTATGCTATGGAGCTTAAGGTGCTTATTGATCAAGGAATAGATAACGGGTGATGAAAACAGGAATTGTTTGTTATGGGCTTTTCTTGATCTACTCTATACCCATGAAAAAAAGAAGAGAGCTTAAATATTAGGAAGCACAAGTAAAACAAAAAAGAACAAATTTTTTTTTTGGGATTGGAAGGGGGTTGGTTCTACAAGTTGAATTTCATGAATCATGATAACAGACAATAGTCAGAAGTTAATTCTTACATTTGTCTGATCTTTTTGCAGTGGGGCAGGAAATTAAAGATAAGTTTTCTGGTGCTGCGGAGGCATTTGCTCGAAAGAATGTGTCTGGAACTGGTTTTACGGGGGACCGTTTGAGACATAGATCTTCAGAGCATCTATCATCCTCCAGAGATGTGGTGAGCTATGGACTTGATATCTTTTTATATTTGTTGATGCAGCAGTGGCCCTGCACATTATTTCAGCTGTCTTTTCAGTTTGCATTCATCAATTGGTTCTGTGTGGAATTTCTACTAGTGTCTAACAGCTAATTGGGTTTTCCATCAGCAAGCTGATTCTGAAAGAGGTCGTGTGTCTCGCACCGACAGCACATCGAGGAGGGCTGTAATGTCAAGCAGCCGACCAAGCTCCTCTGGTGAACGCACTGAGAATCGTGCTGGTCGGTTGGGTTCGAGTAGCGGCCGACTGTCCACTTCGCAAAAAAATCAACCTGGATTTGAAGCCAAATCATCGTCTGTTACTCGTGCTACTGTTGCAAAAGAGAGCAGGGACCATGCCCTGAGGAGCTTTGAGCTGCTGACTATTGGCACAGGGAGAAGGAAATAAGACTGATGTTTTAAAAATCTGCCCCATCAAGGTAGCAAACTTCCAAAATGGCATTTTAAGCATTCTTATCATCGGCATTTGTCCCCAGCTAATGTGAAATTCTCATAACTGGTTTCACCTAATATAGGAACGCCAAATTGGCGCTCTTGATTATGTTCTTCCCAGCTTCCTTGTGCCTAGCCAAACAACCAGAGAAGGTTTTTTGTGCTTGTTTATTTGAGACCCGTTGGAGTCAATATACTCCATGTCTGTATACATTGCTCCATGCAGCTAGTTCGTGCTTGTGCAGATAGTTCCATTATTTCAGGGAGCTGTGAGTTCAAGTACTTGCCATTAACTCTTCAGTGTGGTGTAGCTTAAATCTGTGACCTGAAAACTTGTTCCTATCCCATTGCAACTATGAACCATATTGCTTACTTCTCTCTTTCAAGCCAGGGAGTGAAATGACTCTGATCCATCACTGGCATAGTATATACTGTCACAAAAATCTTGTTAAAAATGTATTTTGGTGATGGTCTCCGTTTTTAAGCTTGATTGATGTTGTGGGACAAAAAAATGGCAGTACAGTTGACTATTTTCCATCAACTTTGGGTGGAGAAAGATATGTTGTCGTCTTTAACATTTACCTTCTTCCAGAGTTCAATCAAAAGTTAACTTTAAGAAAATGTTTTTTTTTTTGAGTTCACATTCGTATTTCTGTGCTAAGAAATGCTATTTAGATTGTTAAGCTATTTTCTCAGATGAGAGACTATTGTTTGGTTGACGGTAAGAGTTATACAAATACGATTAGTGTAGGGATTAGTTTTGCAGGTAGTAGTAACACAAAAATTAGTTATGCATGTATTAGTGATGTAGCTTGTAGGGGTTAGTATTGTTAGTTATGCAGGTATTAATATTAGTAATACAAAAGTTATGCGGGGTGTAATTATTCATGTATTGGTTATTCCATTTTCTGTGTTGCATAAAATAATATTCTATATAGATTTTCTCATAGGTTTATTACCTGTATTAGTTATGTGGAGGAAAAAAAACATGACCAAACATTATTAGCAATGTTATATTTTATGTGGAAAAGAGAAAAAAATCCCGAAATATTGTTTGACTTATGCTATATATTCTACGTGGAAATTATCCTCCCATTTAACAACCAAATAATATATGGTTATGCTAATTTTAATGGCATTTTCCTTTGGGCTGGGAGGGCTGTTATGTAGGTGTACAACTCTTCCTAGGTTGTATTCAATTACGAATTCCCAAAGAATCTATTAGTAGTATGCTTGTGCTAGAAGACCATCTCGCAGATGATTTCTAGTCAGTGTGCTGCGAGTGGCTTCTCGATGAATAGGCTGCGATTGAAAGCAGGAAAAAAACTCTTCTCTTACCAACAACCAAAAGACCCTTTAATATGTAAATTTATGGTAATTTTAATACATAAATAATATTTTCTCATCAAATGACAAATAGGCTCATTGGCAACTACTACTTTTCTATCAATTATTAAAAAGTGAGCGTAAATTCGTTGTAATATTACAAAGTGAATTCTATGCACGTAATTGCATAGAAGTATCTATATACCTATCTCTCAAAAATACACAAATCAATTCTCAATTTCAGTTCTAACAAACTATAGTGTGAACAAAATAGAAAGGGAAGAGAATTATGCCTTAGAAGTGGTTAAAACACACAAAAGCAATCCTTCAATGATCAATAAAAATAATTGAATGTGCGATTTATCTTATTTTCACTAATAAAAATAGAGTTAGAATTGTTAGTTTGTGGGTTCTGAATTTATAAAAAAAACACTTTATTGGGTTTTGGCAAAGGTATTACCCGTAAATGGCACCAAAATAGCTCTGCCCTTGAACGGAGCAAATGAATTATAACACAATTTACTTCAATATAAAAAGTTCCTCGTCAATACTTTTACATTGATGTGATAATATTTTTTTTAAGACTGGCAAGGATCGTTTGGTATGCTTGACTTAGGGGTGTACATGATTGGGTTGGTTCGGGTTTTTCAAATATCAAATCAAACCATTTGTGTAAAAAAAATTTAATTTATAAACCAAACCAAACTAATAAAATTCGGATTTTTCGGCTTTTTCAACCTCGGGTTGGTTCGGGTTTTTGAAATACCAAACCAAACCATTGTGTTGAATTTTTAAATTTATAAATCAAACCAAACTAATAAACCTCGGATTTTTTCAGATTTTTGGATTTTTTCGCATACAAACATATAATTAACTTGTGCTCCAAATATTTCTTTAGTCCAACCAAAATACAATTATCTAAAGTGTTTCTTAAGAAAATAACACAAAATATGAGATGAGTGATGACACTAAAATATTCAATAAAAAAAATAATGAAATCATCATATAAAATAAATATTGCAAAGTCATAATGAAAATGATCATAATTTAAAAGTACTAAATCATGCTAAAATAAGTTTAATAAGTATTAGTTACATTACTAAATATTTAAGGAAAATTAAAATTAGATTATGTATTTTAATTGTCTAAACCAATGTAAAACTAAAAAATCAATATTCAATATTATTATCATTCTTAGTGTATTTTAAAATTATATCAATGTAAAATTTTTTATGTATAAAATAAAATTTTAAAATTACATATATAATGTCGGATTGGTTTGGTCTCGGGTTGGTTTTTTTTAGTTAAAATCAAACCAACCCAAATATAGTCGGGTTTTTTTTTCCAATACCAAACCAAACCACTAGTCGGGTTTTTTGTTCGGTTTACGGTTTGGTTGGATTTTCGATTCGTACACCCCTTGTGCCTTTGTTTGGTTACTAATTTTGAGATAAGATATACTAGTATCAAGTTAGTAATTAATATAGAGATAAACTGTCCCTATCAAACATAAATCAGTAATTTCATAATAAGATAATGAAAATGACAAAAACATCTTAAGGTTCCTCACACCCTTTTTGTATTAAATAAGATGGAAAATAATTTTGTAGATAAGCAATTTTTTTAATGAAATTATGTAATACGGTTATTTTTAATGGAAAGGGGTAAAAGATGCCTCAAATTATACAAAATTAAACAAAAATACTCTTAGTTAATAATTTAATCTAAAAATGCTCCACAGATACTTTTGGGTAAAATATGTCTCTTTCTCTAATATATATATATGATTTCTTTTCTTTTTAAACACATTATTTTTTAAAATAAAATATTATTTGAACTTTTTTACCCTTTTAACATCTCTTTAGCAAATATAAAAGTGGAAAGTGATCTTCTTTTTTCTTAATATGAAATAATAACTCCTTTGATGATATTTAAAGATATTTTATGATTTGAAGCAATGTAATAAATTTTCATATTTTATGACATTATAATTATTGTAGCCTAAGTTTAAAACTAATGATGGTATTAATGAATGCATCATATCTTCTTCACTTTGGAAAGAAATCCTATTTTATTAGGATTTTTTTTTCAAAAGTTATCTGAATGGATTACTATGATGTTATATACATTAAAATTATTGATAGATTACAATATTTTTATATGCTTAAAAAGAAAAAGAAACAATATATTTATTAAAGGAACATTTTTTTACCCAAAAATAACAACTAGAATCATATTTTTGGACTAAACTATAATAAACCAAACAGTAATAAATAATTTGCGTTCAAATCAAACAACCCAATAAAACTGAAAATGGAAAAGATAGAGGAAAAACAGAAAAAAAGTATTCTTAGATTTTCCAGTCAAATGTATGGAGGTTTCCAGGAAATGTGGTAAACCAAAATTATAAATAAATAATGAGTAGTAGTAGTGCTAATACTAACTAAAACTATTTATTAATTAATTAATTAATTAATTATAAAGAGAATCAAGAAGTTCTATATATAAAGATTGTTGAGTAATGCTTATAAGCAAAATAGGCTAAATTTCAGTCAACTGAGTTGTTTTTGAAGATCAGAATCAAAATCATGTCTGAAATTGTTAAACAAAGTTGGAAAAAATATCTAACTGCACTGCAACTCCATCCTCTAAGAACCAAGGTATGTTTTTTTTTTTTTTTTTTAGGAGAATCTTAGTAATTCAGTTAGTTGAATAAGTGAATTTTTCACCTTTTTGGTGAGAGTTTGATTTCCGTATTGTAATACCTATCCCAATCCAATTTCCCTGCCCTCAATTTTTTTTTTAAAAAAAGTTACGTATATGTTTTCTCTGGGTTGATGTATATAATTTTTTTTAATTTTTTTTCAATTTAATTAGGCAATTACTGCTGGAGTTTTAGTAGGGTGCAGTGATGTAATTGCCCAGAAGATTTCTGGGGTCAAAAGGCTTCAATTCAGAAGATTACTTCTTCTAATGGTATTTGTTTAAATTTCTTTATTACTTTTATGTTTTAAGTTCTGTAATCTTGATGATTATTGATAGTTTTTGGTAGGTTAATTATTGTGTTAATTAAATTTAATTGTTTTGGTTGTATGATAATTGTTTTTTTTAAATATGCTTTGTTTGTTTAAATTGCAGCTGTATGGATTTGCATATTCAGGACCCTTTGGCCATTTCCTTCATAAATTGATGGATGTGATATTTCAAGGAAAAAAGGGTAATAAAACTGTTGCTAAAAAGGTTAGACTCTCAAAGTTGTGTGTTTTGTAGTTTTTATCTTTCGCGGTGCAACTCATATGCCTACAACAACAACTGTAATCCGATTACAAGTGAGGTTTGAGGAGGATAGAGAGTACGCAACTGTTATGGCTAAAAATAATACGAAGTTAGTTACTAAAATCAACAGTTTCTCTTTTGATGAATTTCCAGGTTTTGTTGGAACAGTTGACAACATCTCCTTGGAACAACTTCTTTTTTATGATGTACTATGGATTGGTTGTTGAAGGTACGCTAGCTCGTTTCATCTTCAAATGCTAAGTAACTGAATTTCAATCTATTTGGTTTTGTTAAAGTTGATTAGAAGACTATTAGTATTACATTTCACATCTTATTGAGTTTTCTCTGCACAGAGCACGAACGAAAAAATAGCATTTTGTTAAACATTTGATACTCTTGTACTAAGTTGGAATAATACTCTGCAATGTTTTAACTATACTTAGTGTTGAAAAAATGATTCGGTATCTCAAAAAGAATTATTTTGTCTATTAGTAAACGGAAAGATGATTGATTTTATAGCCTTAACATGGCGCTATTAATCCTTTTCATTACTCATTATAAGATGCCCCTGATTTGGTTTATAACAGATCTTTCTATTCATTATTGTCATTTATCTTCTATATCCATCGAAGCTTTAATGACATTGATAGTCTTGTTCTTGGGCTTCGTTTTGTGAATCTT